TTGGACTTTCTGGAGGAAACAAGTGTTGAAGTTTCTCCAGGAAGTACTGGGAGCATGCCGACTATGGTGTGGTGATGGACATTGATGTGGTGGAACAGGAGCTTGGGTAAGGCAGAACTGGGGTCCTGACATGAACAGGAAGCACATGGCTGCAGGTCCTGGTCACACACAGCTTCTGAAGTAACACGCCTGCGGGAGCTATACTGAAAGATGTTGCATATGGAGATGAAAAATGTGATTCATGTTGACAGAACATGATAAGAATGCAGGCAGTTTATGCTTGTGAGACAGGCTATACATTTTCAGAGGACTTGTGCTGAAGAACATAAAGATTCATGTTCATCTCCTGGGCTAGTTAAGGTCACATTCACTGGCAAAGCAGAATTCCAGAGAGATTACAAGTAATACCAACAACATGAACTCTCCAGCTCTACTGGAATTGGATGATGACATTTCTAAAGCAGTTAAGAAGGAGGATTACAACATCATTTGAGATCAGATTGTCAGAAGTATCTTCTTTTTTTAGGTACCATAAAAACCAGAGTTCTGAAATATATCCTAACATTTATGAAGGAAAAAAGACCCCCAAAAACAAAAACAAAACAACAAAAACCCCAAAACAACAACCCCCCCAAAACTATTAACAGCTATGAAAAGCTCTGGGAACTCCTAAAATGGTCAAAATGAAAAGTCGAGTGCAACTTAAAGAACAGCACACTGACATTAGTGATGATGTGTGAGAAAAAAATTCAGCAATTTTTCCATGGGGCACAAGCTCTCCATAGCAAGGCAGTCCCAGGCTGCACTCTAACAGGACACATGTGTATAACTGCTTAGATTTGAGATTAAATGAAGGGTGAAACCTGCATTTACCTTGAGAGTTGTCACCTTTTCTTAGCACTGGAAACACCATTGCTAGTAAGCTTTAAAGTAGGAATGAAAGAACTTGGTATTGCTTACTCTAAGTGGCTGCCAAGTCTGAGACATCCAGTAAGTATGTAAACCACATAGCTTACAGCTGACTGTTTCGTCTCTTTACCACTATGTTAAGAACTTGCAAGAATTTCCATCTCACCCATAAAGATTATAAGTTATAGTGCATAAAAACGTTGACTAAAGACAATGCAGTGAGAGTATGATGAGCATAAGTGCCATTGATAAACAGGCATTAAGAAGTCACGTGTCCTAGTTTTGAATAATCAAGATAGGTAAATTTATAAAGATCAAACATTACCAACTTTGCTTGGCTTTAGTCCACATTCACTCACAAGACTTTTGTCTTGTAGTGCTGAAGACCAAACCTAAGGTCTTAAAATGAGCAAGCAGTCCATTTAAGATGTATCCCCAGCCTGTATATTTTGAAAAGCCCAAGGATATCAATAAATCTGTCTATATCTTAAAGGACAACAGCTATTTCAAGCCTAATTTTGTAAAGGAATGTATTTTTACAATGTTCCCCCTATCTATCTGTACATGTTAACTCAGTGTTGAGTCTTTGACCCAAAGAATGTGGTAGAAGCCTGTGACCTTTGTTGTCACTCTTACCAGAATGCTGTTGCCTGTTTGTAAACATCAATTCTCCAAGGGGTTACACCAGGCATTTTTAAGTCTAATCTGTGAAGACATCACCATATAGACTCTTCCACCTCAGCCACCAACACACTTCTGCAGCCAAATGTGCAAATAAATTTGGTTATCTCAGGGTCCAAAGTGCTAAAATGATCAGCAACACAACACAGAGAGGTTCCAACAGAAAGATCCAGATGAAATAAAAACAAAACCCCCAGAAAATACTGTTGTAATAGAAAGCTGTCGAAACGGTAAACAAAATGCTGTTGGAGACTATGAATGTGGAGATGTATGTCTAAAACTAGCAAAAACAATTGGCTACACTAACAAAACTGCCATGCTTGTTAAGGTTGCCAAGACATGTTCAATACATTTCAGTTGGCTTCTTCTTAGATGTTTTGGTGAGGCAAGTCAGAGGAAACAATCTACATTGTTCAGTTTGTCATAGTAACTTAGCTAAAATAAAGGACTACTCAGAGTTGTGCTCAGCAAGCTGAAGATTTTGAGTATGGATGCTGTGTGGTCATGATCAACATAAAAGTCTTTGACTGTGAGGTCCTCCATTAAGATGTCACTGTTGTTAAGTCAGTATGCTGAACTAGACAAGGTGAACCCCTACAACTGTTTCCTCATAACACACTAGTGGTATGAACTATGCTTTTTCACCATAAACAAGACATGATGTCCACTTTCACATCTACCTGACAAAGCACTAACGTTCTAGAAGGGCAACCAAGGAAGAAGTGGAACTACACAGGCCTTAACTGTCCCCATCCCAGCCTCAACAGCCACTCATTGAATAAGCAAAGCAAAGAGTTACGTTTCAGAATACAAGAGCAACGAATGAAAATTAGTTTAGTGTGACAAAACAGTGGCATTAGACAACTCTGAAGCATCTAGGAATGTGTCCAAGGAAGGACTTGCATACCAACAGTAGAACACTGAGAACTGACAAGATGGAAAAGCCACCTCCTTTATGGCTTAACAGACACAATATTACTGAACAGGCGATACTCCCTGGTGATTGACATATTCAAGGTGATCTGTAGCAAAATCCTAATTGTCTACAGCCCACCACCAAATAATTGTAATAAAATGTTAAAAACCTCTATTGTCAGTTTGATACAAGCTAGAATTATCTGGGAAGAGGAACTTCAATTGGGAAGTTTCCATTAGTTTAGTTAGTTGTCTTTAGGAAAGCCTAAGGAGTGGGAGGGCCCAGACTAAGAGTGATAGAACCCCTGGATAGGTAGTCCTGAGCTCTATCAGAAAGCAGGCTGAACAAGCTGTGGGGAGCAAGCCAGTAAGCAACACTCCTGTATGGCCTCTGCTTCAGTTCCTGCCCTGGCTTCCTTCAGTTATGGAGTGCAACCTCTGAGTTTTAAGATGAAACCCCCTTGCTCCCCACATTACTTTTGGCCATGGTGTCTGATCACACTAATAGAAAACGATGACAAATTATCAATATGTTTGTGGGATACTGCTGTGACCGATCTATCCATGGTCATGATTTTGGTAGTGTTCTGGAAGGACCTTGAATTCTGGGCTAGAAAAGTCATTGAGTAGTGCTCAGAGCTTAATGGGTTGTTGTGAGAGCTTAGGAGAGATGGGAGCAGTGCAGATGAAGGGGTTCTGGCTTGTTAAGTTTCAGAGAGAAGTTTTAAGAGTCCTTAAATACTTGATTGGAGCAGCTCAATATTAAGAATCTGTGGTGTTTGGTCAGCTGGAGCTGTGACTATCAAGTGACCAGGATGCACTAAAACAAAATCTTTGCTTTGTTGCAACAATTGACATTGGCCAGTAGAAGAATCAGCTGTGATAAAGAAGAGGCCAGCATAATGGAGGCAAACTCTTCTAGAAAGTGTTTCCTTGGGGTCAACATGTGATCCAGAGGGGCTAATGCTATCCTTAATGTATAAGACAGTTCAGGTGTGAACTCTCAGCTGTTGCTCTGGCTAGCTGTCACCTGCTATCTCTGCTGTCATCATGACTACTCTTCTGAAACAATAAACCCTTTCTTCCATAAGTTGTGTTGGTCATGCAGTTTTATCACAACTCCCTCCTCTCCTTCCAGCCGCCCCCCCCCCCACCTTTGTCCCTATACCCCAATCTACTATTCTGTTCAAGATATGGATATCAACAAAACATGACATAACAGGTTGCGGTAAGACTACACACCTCGTCTTGTATTAAGGTTGGGCAAAGCAACACAGTATGAGGATTGGGGTCCTAAGACAGCCTCTGCTACTCAACTGTAACATACATGCAGAGGGCCTAGGTTAGTCCCATGCAGGATCCCTGGTTTTCAGTTCCCTGTGAGCCTGTATGAGCCCAGGTTAGTTGATTCTGTGGATTTTCTTGTGGTGTCCTTGACTCCTGATTCCTACAATCTCCCTTTCTTCTGCAAGATTCATTGAGCTCAGTCTAATGTTTGGCTGTGGGCCTGCATCTTTTCCCACCAGTTTCTGGATAAAGCCTCACTGATGAGATCTTATTCATGTTTTCAAAACAGTACAATACTAGTTTATAAGATTTCTGCAAACTGCTCCTTGTAGCGCAGATTGTAGCAAAACTCCTACTTGCAGCTCAGGTTGGTTTTGAACTTTGGATACTCTTGCTTCAGATGTTAGAGATGTTGGATTTATAATCATGAGCCAGGCAAATATAGTGCTTTTATTATTACAAATCACCACTGTCACAACAAACATACATATGTATTTTTTTCTGTTGTTTTGATACAGAGTTTCTCTGTGCAGTCCTGGGTGTCTTGAAATTCCTTGTGTGGACCAGGCTACCCTTGAACTCTAAATGCCTTCCCTGTGCTAGGATTAAAGGCATGTGCTACCACTGCCTGGCATCCTGGTCTACAGTTCTAGGACATCCAGGGCTGCACAGAGAAACTGTCTCAAAAAATGGGGAAGTTCACAGTAAAAGTTTCTCCCACCTGCTCTTCAGATGGGCTCTCCCTGTTGCTCAAGCACTCCTGTCTCAGTGTCCTAAGATGGTGGGACCACATCTGACCTCCCTAAAGCTACATTTCTTTTGCCACAGGACTATACTGTCTGTATAAAGAAACCTTTATAATAGCATTTAATATATTCCTAAAATTGCTTAAATCACTAATATTTATAATCTGCATTAAAAGTGCAAACTACATTATGTAGGTCCCACTACCCTGTTTTAAACATTGGGGAAATGAGGAGTCAGTTTATGGAAGTCTATCTGAGACTGAAAGCCAGGCATCCTAACTCCAAAGCTCATATTGCTTTTAATCATTCAAAACTAAGAACTCAATGAATTCAGGTTACTGGAAAGGTTCTGCTTTTCTAACAACATCATTTTAGTTTTCATTTGCTTTTGAAACATATGTGTGAACACTGACAAGATAGGTATGAACGCACCATGAAAAGAAAATAATCAACGACCACAACTAACATTAAAGATCAGTATTAAGAAAAGAGATTTAGTGTGTCACAGCAATAATTCCACAGCATAATAACCACATATTAAATCTGAAGAGCATTAATTGAGTAAAATGGCCTGCCTTAGCAGTTTGAGACACAAACACAACTGTTAAAAAAAAATACAGTCATTTGTTATACTTGTAATCTCTGCATAAAGATGTCATCAAAGGATTGAATAGAAACATATGAAATCATTTGTCCATTTATTCATTAATATGTTGTCAAATTCAGTATTCTATACACTATATTTATTCATTCTATTAGATTACATATATATAAAAATATCCAACTTATTTTATGAAGAAATTAAATATTTCTGAAAAAGAATCATTTTCTTAGTGCTCTCTAGCAGCAACCCTGAAGACGCTCTTTCTAATCCATTAACTACTTCAGCACATTTGTTCAGTGCCGGCCGGCTTCTACAGCCCGAGTTTACATGGTTCTCTTCCACAGAATACCACTTCACGGTTACATAGGATACAAACAACATCTCTGTGATAAACATGTTTCTCTTTGATTACAGAACAATTTCTTCACCCTTCCCAGCAATCACACAAATAGATTAAAAATGTAACCTTAGAAAGGCACACATATTTACACTTTCAATTCTTTATTGTCTTAAAATTGTACAGATCCTTTACAATACCATATTTTGTTATTTAAACCACCTCTAAATGTTAATGTACAATGGTACTGTTTCTGAAGTGCAACCATGAATTACAAGTTCATCAATGTGATTATTTCAAACAGTTCTAAGATGCTGAGAAGTTTGAGTCCTGCACTTGAAAACCTCAGTGGTGCAGACTCTTCTTCCCCGGGAGCCTGGATGATCTTTGTGGAAAGTGCTTTTCAAGATTGCTCATTGTTTATAGCTGATCTTAAAGTCAGTCAAATTACATTGTTATATTTTTAAACATCAAAGGGTATTTAAAAAAATTAAAGAATTTGCGTTAGCAGTCTTCTGAGGCAAACAAAATTATGATTATCTGCATGCAGTACACTCCTCTTTAAATAGTTTGGAAGGATTTATACATTTTATAAAGAATGTGTTAAAGAGTGCAAGGACTCTTGAGTTCACAAGAGAACAAATGCTGGTAACAACAACACTGGTGTCTAGTCAGCTAGTGTTTATTAACAGGCAATTAATGAGGCTAGTCACAAGCCACGGTGCAGGCACTGCCCTTGGAGAACAGTAACTAGTTTGGTCCGCATTTCTAGTTATTTGGGTGGAAACAAAAGAAAACCATTTCAATTCAGCCAAGAATTTTGATGAATTTATTGTTCCTAAGATATATCCACTTAAAAGGGAAGTGTAGTCCACCAATGTAGTATACTGCTGTGTTGACTTTTGTAAAAAGGAGGATGGCCGGTTGTTTTGGAGTGATTTATTAGTGCTAGAGGACAAATCAGAAAATGGTACCAGATGTAGATTTCTTCTGTGGCTATACTTTCTTATTCCATGACACAGCTTTCACTCTGTAAAACTTTGTCCCCAAAGGAACTTTAAATCTGTTTTGTGCCTAAGAGGGAAAGAAAAATAAAAAATAAATATGGAATCACTGTATGACTGAATGAGTTTATTCAAGTCCCCTTCAACCATTCAGCTTACTTCTAGGGGTATGATGTAGAGTCTTTACTTTGTATCAAACTACAGAAGATAAGGTCTTGACCAACTGGGTAACTAACATTGTCTTGGGGCGGGAATGCTATGGCTAACCCCTTCTTTTTCTAACCCATTCTTACTATATACCCCTGATACCCTGGCACTCACTATGCAGACCAGACTGGCTTCAAATTTGTAGCATTCCTCCTGTCCCTGCCTCCCAAAGGCTGGGATTATAAGCATATATATATATGCACACACACACACACACACACACATACACACACACACACACACACACACACACACACAGCCTAGGATGGTTTGGAACTATTGATCCTTCTGTCTCTGCCTTGATTGCTTTGACTGTTAATTTCAGTTTAGCCTCCAAATAAGACTTCAGAGTTATCTTTCACTAATGGGGTAGCATACGAAAATGAGTAAAGAGCAACTGTACACACAGAGTTCACTGTTGCTAGCAGTTACACACACGAGTTGTTCTCCTTTGAAGGTCAATACAATGTTGGTAATCTACCTCTTCTATCTAAACATAATAGCAATACTTAGAGGATTTCTGGCTTAAATTCAATTTAATAAACCTTAAGCTCTAAACTGAGCAAAAATCTCAAAATACTAGTAACGATTTCCATACAATAAAATTCCTAGTTTTACTATTATAGGGTAGAGTTCTTACCTTTTTGGCTTGACAATATTCCTTTTCCATTACTTTTCCAAGGACCCAGGGTCTTCTAGATGCACCTGAAGCTAGTGAATAAATTATTAACTTATTTTTCAAAGTTCATGGCAAAAAAGAACTGCAGAATCAAAATAGTAATGGTGTTCTCACAAGAACATATACAACTTTAAAAACCATTAAAATCAGTGAAACTCATATTTTATTCACTGAAGAAAAAAATCTGTTGTACTTTCCAACATGTGCTTCATTCAAGGAGGCCAGTAAACTAAGTAGGCAACATGAGCAAATAATTAACTCGACACTGCCACCTACTGAAGGAACTATGATGATGATCTCCACTTCTCAAAGTGGCAAAATACACTTCTAGGTCTAAGTGAAACAGATTTCTGAGTGGCAGCCCTTCAGTGTGGGTTGGAACTTCAACCACAGCACCTAGCACAGCAACGTCAATACAACTGGGATTCAGCAAGCAATGAAGAATAAAACACACATTAAGTCCTGAAGTGGACCTCCTATGCAGAGGCTGAGAATGGTGCAGAGTACAGAATTACCGAGGTGGCAAACCCCTTCTTTTAGAATTGATTATAATAGTTGTACACATTTCCAGTTTCACATGTTTAGAAATACACATAGGAAATAATACAAATAATAAAAATGGTAACACACGAATCTGTGTCAATATGTGGATTTTCCTTGTCTTATACATCTTTATACCTTTTAAAATATCATTTTCACTTAAAAAATGTAAAGAGGTGGGATACAACTTAGAAACAAGACACTAGGTTTGATCTCCAAACTACAAAAGACCTACAGTAAATAAAAGTTTACACAAGTGAACAAGAACGAGACCAGAAGAATGATGCAGCCAGGCATAGAGCTCCATGCTTGCAAACCCAGCATTGGGGAGCTACAGGTTGATGGATCAGGAGTTCAAGACCAATCACAGACACAGGATAGTTTGGAGTCAGCTTGGGATACTTTTTATCAAAAAGCCAAAAATTAACAAAAAATATGAAAAATGCTAGAAATCTCAATGTGAAAATAAGTTGCATGCTTACCTTCTCACTTTTCATGGTCATGTAGTTTCTGTCCCACAGATATTCTAAATAGCTTACCCATCGAAAACCATAATGGAGTAGTCAACGATACTGCCCCACTCCAAAATGGGTATTTGTTTACATGCCAATCCAAATAAGAACATGAGTTCATATACTTATATAGTCTGATCAGCTGATTCACTGTACACTACTACACTTAATTTTGGATTTATCAATTAAATCCAATAAAGACTTTTGTAAAAAAAACTGAGCAGCTTTTTTCCTAAGGACTTTAATTGTGTATATAGTACACAACAGGAGAATATATGTCCTCCAGTCAAGATTAATAATTTAGAACTGTATGTGACACTTACCTCCCTCACCTGGTTTGAGATCCAGGGCAGGAAGAGACTCTGAATGCAGAAAATACAAAGTAGGGCTAACAGTAAACAACACATAATTGTCATGTCGCTCATCTAGGATGATGAGAACCAAATCTCCCACCTGAAAACTAAGGAAAGGAAGGTTACCATCCTAGAGAGAGTTTATCACATGTGATACAAACTTAAGAGTATATAGCTGGTTCTGAGTCCAGATTCAACTGATGGGTCACGCATAACTGCTGTGGAAAGGAGTCTGATCTCTGCCACGTGACACAGGTTAACACTATTTGCAATAGGTGCTAAAGCAATCTAGAGATGATTTAAAGTAGATAGGATGTGCACACAGGTCACACACAAATACTGTACAATTAAATGAAAGGGACTTGAAGGGGATGGGAAGCTCACAGTGGGTAGAGGAACCAGCTGACAGACCTAGAGCCCAATGGTGGGGGGAATCTGCAGACTGTCCCCTGACCTTCATACACATCTTGTGATGCACACCACTGAGGTGACTTGAGGGTCCCTACAAGTACCTTTCATCTAATTGTTCAAAGGAACTTCCAGCAACTTATAAAGACCAACATTTTTTAAAATAAAATTTTCATGATCTAATTAATGAAAGAACCAAAACAAAAACAAACAAACAAACAAACAAAAAACCCCACTTTACCCGGAGAAATATCTAGTCACAGGAATTTTCCTTGTAACCTTTCATTTATACCAAGAAACACACCTGGTATTTTAATTCTTAAGTGTGATACTCTTCATTTCAAAGGAAAAAGCAATTGAACTAAGTCCATGTGTACAGTCAGGCCTCAGAAAGCCTTAGTACAGACCTTAAGGGAGAGATGAACAAGCAATTATAACTGCCTACATGCACGTACTCAGTGTCTACCTCTCAAAATGTGCTCAGCGCAGTTAACAGGTTTGAAGATCAGTCTCAGACTCTAGTTGCCAGGGTAATTTTATGTGCTAGGTTCTCCAGCAGACAGAGTCGGCTAGCTATCAAGATTTCCATCCTTCCCTTTTTGTTGTTGTTGTGATTCTAGCCTTTAACGCCTGAGCCATCTCTCCAGCCTCCCTTCCCCTTTATTGAGAAAGGGTCTTTCTATGTGCTCCAGGCTGGTCTCTGACTTGCAGTCAGTTGTCTCTTGCTTTCACTTTCTCAGTACTAGCGCTACAGGTGATGCCACAGCATAGTGTAGGAAAAGTCTGAAATACTGCTGCAACCATGGGGTAAGCACTGTTGGCTGAACACTAAAAGCTAACATAGTAAAGAGTCGTATTATGTTAAACTCATCTCTACTCTTCCAAAGCCCAATGATCTGATGCACAGTTGGTTAAGCAGAGAGCCATCCTGCCATGGCATCACCTGAAGAAGATAATGCTGAGATGCTAGGGCCAGAACAGATATCTAAAAGCCATATAAAATAGAAATAAAAAACAAACCAAAAACCTTAAACCAGTTAACAACAAAAATCTATTATAAATGAAATAAGGGTCTTCACAAATACTATGATTTCACCCTTTTAATCCTAACATTTGAGGTAGCAAGTTAAGATGGTGTGTGCCTAGGCCAGCCTGGGGTACAAGTTAAGGCTTTTGTGTATAAAGTTCAGTAATTCTTGAACAATAGACCAGGATTGATGAGCTGCTATGATGCTTTTCTTTATTTATTGCTCCAAAGCTCCTGCAGGACAACTCACAGGAGAAACAATTACTTCTATGTGGTAATTTGTACCAGGAAAGCTATAATATTAAACTATTCAACTGATGAAAATATCAAAGTATACTCCGAATTTATAGCACATAGATAAACATAAAATGAAGGATGCACAGGAACCTGAAATCAAGATCTTACCGTTTGAAAGGTAAAATTGAGAAGATAAAATTCTTTTCAGACAGGATGGCAGCTGAAATGTTAGCCAGCACAAGAAAAGCTTCAAGGGTTTTGTGTGAATTGTAGAGCTGTAAATGGCCTAAATGATCATTATGATCACAATGTATTCAGTAACTAACAATTTGATTTAAAACCCACAAAAAAAAAAATGATATACTTACTCTCGAATGGCTATTTTTTCAGAATGTCTTGAAGATACTGAGGACATGCTCTGAGACATCTGGGACAAAGAAGGAACCATGCATGAGCTGCACACATCTAAAATATGATATTCACCAGAAAAATTTGGAGACATGCTTCAATCTGTGTTCATTCAAGCTGAATGTAATATTTACTTATGTAATATTTACATTCAGTAATTCAACAATGAAGTTTGGTGCACTAAACTTCATCTATTCCCTTCCAATACTATCTGTTACAGAGCAGGGCTTAGGAAACGAGGGAATTTAATATCTGACTAGGAAAGTCTAACCATTTTCAGAGATTTGAAAAAATTAACCAGAAAACGACATATATTCTACCAGACAAGTTAAGACTACTTATAAGACGGGTTCAGTCTTACAGTTTCCCTGTGTGAAGACAGTAAATGAATGGGAAAGCACACTGCTCTAGATGCCAGGTCTGGAGACACGTGTTAGCTCTTTGGGTTACGTGGGAGTATCTTTGCTTCTCTGGTTACTACTAATATAAGTTTTAGGCTGGAGAGATGGCTCAGCCGTTAAAGGCTAGGCTCACAACCAAAAATACTAATGTAAGTTCTAGAACAAAGCAGTTTAACAATGTTTCTTGAACCCCATTGCTGCCCTACAAAAACAAAACATAGTAAAAGTCTTGGCCATATGTGGCTTATCTTCCCTTTGGGGACACTATGTAAAAACTGTATATGATAACATCTTATAAAGCCTTTTTAATTAGTAGTCTATCAGCATATAACATCTAACTTTTGTTGTTTGTGTGACAGCAAAAGAAAAAGTAGAGGCTGGCAATGGTGGTACATGACTTGCTGAAATCACCACATTCTGGAGATAGGACTATGTATTTCATGCAACCCAGCGAGATCCTGCCTCAAAAACAAGCACAAGAAAACAGAAAAGGGATGTTTTACCCCTGCATTTATTTATTTTTGGTTTTTGAAACAAGAGTTTCTCTGTGTAGCTCTGGCAGTCCTAGAACACTCTGGACCCAGCTGGTGTCGAACTCACAGAGATCCACCTGCCTCTGCCTCCCAAACACTAGGATTGAAAGTGTGTACAACCAAGGCCCATCTATTTACTTTTGAAACAGGGTCACTCGAAATGTAGACCAGGCTGGCAAAGAGCTCACAGAGATCTGCCTGTTGCTGCCTCCTGAGTGCTGGGGTTAATGGTGTGTGTCACTAGACTTTGCTCACTGTTACTTACTAAAATAATCAATTACAAGGGCCAGGGAAATGGCTCATTTGGTAAAAGTGCTTGTGAACACGTAGAAGGGGAAATCCAATTTCAAAAAGTTGACCTTTTACCTTCACATATGTCGGTGTGTACAAAAAAAGTATTTCTTCCCTCTCTCCCCTCGGCCCCTTTAAAGTACTGAACATAAGCCTAAACTATTTGTTTCCTTTAAAATATGCAATTATCAGAAAATAATTGTTTAGATGCTAGAAACACAACCTGCTTTAGGGGGAAATAAAGTAACTGCTGTATTAAACATGACTGTCTCTAAAGTGGGCTGCCAGAGGAATTAAGAAAGTCACAAGTCAGGGCACAACTAGTTATTTTCATTTACAAGATTCATCAGAATAAATGAAAATGTTCAACAGGTTACAAAGCACTCTTAACTCACTGAATTAAAAACACAAGATTACAAAAATAAATTTGGAACTCCAAGAAGTAAGTTAATAATAAATACTATTATCATTTTTTTCTAAGTATAATAGTAAGGAAGTCAGTCTACTTGGCTAAATTTTCACCAGGATATTCTTATTTTCAAGTAAAGAAAAACAGGTTGGGGCTAGAGAGATGGCTCAGTGGTTAAGAGCACTTGCTGTTCTTGCAGAGGATCTGGGTTCAGTCTCAACATCCACATGATGGGACACAACCATCCATAGGCATGCACAAGGTACACATACATACATGCAGGCGAAACATTCATACATATAAAACAAATGAAAAAAAAATGAGACATCTGTAGAGTGATTCTACAATCAAACAAAATAACAACTCTGACCTGATTTCTTCCCCTGAGAGCCGTAATAGTCAATGTCCCAATGACTTAACAAATACCAGTATAAATAAATCACACACATTCTGGGCTGGCAAGATGGCATAGCAGACTGAAGGCACTCGCCACCAAGCCTGATGACCTGAGTTCAATCCTCAGGGCCATGTGGTGGCAAGAAGTTATTTTGGGAAGTTGCCCTTTGATTTCTACACTCACACCAGAGTGGCAAACATGCTCCCTCCACCATTTATCCTTCAGGTGAAAGACGTCTGTAACAAAATACAAACTAAACAGTTTTTTAAAAGAGACATCATCAGAAAACTCTTACCAGTCTTTGATTTAACCGCTTGTTTTCTTCTTCTTTCAACTGCAATGTCTACAGGTAGAAAAAGAAAACTCCGATTTATCTTGTTCACACTGCGTATGTGTGCAGAGTCTATTTTATTCTGATCACTAACCGCTTCAATGACAATGACAACACTGGCTGCATTGTCCTAAGACTTCCTCAAATGTTCAAATTTTGTCATTAGCTGTGGAATTTTAGACTCACAATAAATACCTGCATTTATCTGCAAAGATTTGCTAATCAGAGGGGGAACCTGAATTTATTGCTACATCTTGTGTTATTCTAAGGTGCTTAATCACAAAACAAGAAAAGGATGGCTGATACATTTGAATCAGATTAGATAGTTTGACTTTGGATTACTGTCACACATCTAAGCTTGTATAGAATGAAGACATCGGTAAAAATCTTCATGATCCAAAGAATGAAACTAGCCATGGAGAGTTCATTCTAAAAATTATCAAATATCATTTTTGGTATGCATGTGTGGTCTATATGCATACAATTTTGCATGCAACTGGAAGGCAGCCCCTTATTAAGAACTCCTTTTGTTTAGTTCAATTAATAAAAGCCTCATTACTTCAATCTTCATTACTTTTTCTTATATTCTTGCTCATCTCAAAACAGAAAATCTCCTTTTGTTTTTGAAATAAATGTGCTGAAATTCTTACTCATATTATACTGTTGATTTCTGGGCTGTTGTTAATAAAATGTATGCTCTTTTCTGCCTTTTATAGATGTCATTCATTGGGAAGTTACATAATGAGACTTGACCTAACTGCTAACTGTTAATAGAGAACAAACGGCAGGACTTCTCAAATATCAACAATTAAAACCAATCATAAAAAGACTTAATTCATAAAGCACATCAAAATGTAATGTTTTTAGAATGAAAAGCATTTAAATGTTTTATTTTGGGACTTGTCATCATATTAGACAAGCACTTCACAGAAAGTCTGCTCACCCGCTCCAGAAGCATGATCCTCTGTTTCTCTTCAGACAGTGTATTTTCTCTAAAAGTAAAAGAATGATTTTTATTAAAGTTTAAGAACTTTGAATTTTACATCAACAACAAAATTTTAGGAGCTCAGCCAGGCATGGTGGCACACACTTTTATTCCCAGCATTCGGGAGGCAGAGGCAGGTGAATCTCTGTGATTTCAAGGCCAGCCTAGTCTACACAGTGAGTTCCAGGACAGAATGGAGAGACCCAGTTTCAAAAAAAAAAAGGTTTTAGAAGCTTAAATATTACTTTTAATTCAGAGAACATCTAGTAGAGTAAGCACTTGTACTAAATTTTTGAAAGTAACCCATATAGATAAAAATAGCTGTTACTCTATATACAAGTTCAGACACCTACGAAATTATAAGCAAAACTTTGCACATATTTTTATCTACAATTTCTTCAAAGTTCATACTTTCCCAGATATTAAACACTTTTTCCATATCTAAATTCCCTTTCAAAGAAATGTATATGATATTATATAGCTCTCTCCAAATATCACATTGATTGTACCTGGCTTTAGATCCTTTTGTTTCCTTTAGAATATTATAATTTCTATTTGTGTATTAGTATTTATACATAAGGATCTATAGCTACACATCTAAATAAAGATGTGCTAACATTTCCAAATATAGACTCAGAAGCTGTTAAAAACTGATAGCCAAATTTTACTTATATTCTTGGTGTGCATGTATGTGTGGTCCATGAATGTGCTTGTGAAGATGTGTGTGCATGTGTGGAGACCAGAGGTCAACACTGGAAGTCTTCTTTGAAACTGCTTACTACCATTTTTGGGTTTTCTCACTGATCCTGCAGTTCATTAATTCTGGTACAACAGCTGGTCAATAAGCTTCCAGGATCTGTCAGCCTCTGTGCCCGACCCTGCCCCCATCACAGTGGGGATATTAGATGAATGCTCTCATGTGCCCGTCCTTCACTGAGCTTCCTACATTCTTTTGATTTAACTGCCTTTCCCATGTATAAGACATAGTTGGGGTTATTTCCCCCTGCAGGCCATGTTTCCAATGTGGATTAATTTCTATCATTTATGATTTCTAATTTCAACATTCTTTTAGCATGTTTATAGTTTGTCCTTTAAAATCACACTTTCATATCGGCTTAGAACACTTAGTAAGGTGAAGAGACAGATCTCTGGAAGAGTTCAAGGCCAGCGTACACAGAGACCCTGTCTTGAATAAACAAACAAAAAGTATTAACAATGTAAAAGTATTTCTTTCCTTCAGAATTTTCTATTTTGACGGGATAGCACTAGTTTTGTTTTGTTTTTTTTTTTTGTAATTTTGAGACAGAGTGATAGTTTAGTCTGGCCTTGAACTCACTCCATAGTCCAAGCAGAGCTTTACTGTGTGACCTGTCTGCCTTGGGAGATCCTTCAAAGCTAGGATTACAGGCTGTGACACCAGGCTCAGGCCCAGTATGGCATTGTTCGTTTGAAAAGCTTCTGATGAACTCAGCGGCAGATAGACCCACTTACAGGACAGACATCATGCTTGTCTCCATTGCTGAGTCCACTCTTCCTTCATCTGTCGTCTCCATGGCTGATCTCTCTGCCTCCCCTGGCAGCTCAGGTGCACAGGCTCCATACAGCTCTGGGGCTGCGAGCACAGGTGCTGAGGGGATAAAACTGCTAGTTCGCAGTTTACTCACTTCTTCTTCAAGCTTTTTCTTCTCTTCAAGCAAACGAGCTCGATCTTCAGAAAGTGACTCTATCAAATCTAAGACCACAAATTCATGTAAGTATTACTGAACCGAAAATGTCCCATAAATATTTTAAAAATCATTTAAAAGACAACACTAACCTTTATCGCGCTCTTGTTGTTGCATTGTACTTTTTAACTTATCACTAAGATCATTTATTATGTTTTCCTTCCTCATTTTCTCTCTTGTTAAAACAGTGTTAAAATTGGTCTGAAACAACAGTAATAGTCAATTATCTGCATATACTTAGCAGTCAATGCTATGAAAATAAGGCTGTAGTTACTCTTTTCTGAGGTGTATTTATGGAGCTCAACGACGAAGCAAAAGCTGTATGTATTCTAGTAAAGGGTATAGTTTCTTGAAAACAAATTTTATTTTATTATTTTTGCCTGTATTGTCAGAAGAAAGGCATTAGCAAATGCTCGACATTTTAGGGAAAGAAGTAAATTAGTGAACAATTTAAAGAGAGCAGTTGCATACATGACTTTTTCTTTGGGTAATTTTCCTTCTTCTGAAATCTTTGCTGACTCTTGATTACCATACTAGCATGTAATTAATTCTCTTTCTCTCTCTGTCTTACTTGGGCATATGCAATGGCCTCTGGACCTGTACAGTGACTAGATTTATTATTCCCCAGATTTCACCCATTCTCATTGCATAATATACACATATCCAATGGCATAGAGGGATCTTATAAGTGGCAATTTTAATTGCTGTTTCATTTACAAAGGAGATTAAATTTGTTAAACAAATCATTTATAAGAGTTTATTAAAATCTTCCTAAAATAGAATAAATACATACCCTTATTCTTTTATCTGTTTAGTATCCCTCCCTACCCATACTTTCAGGAATCCATTACTGGCAAAAGTGAGCTTTAACAGGAAACTGATAGCTTTAGACAAAACTCAAGAGTAATGAACAAACTAAAAAATGCTTTCAGGTTAGGAAGCACACTGTAAGACCCCTCAGTGGGAACGCTGATAATGCAGCTTAGGCATGGTGGAGCCACTGTAATCCCGGCACTCAGGAGGCAGAGGCAGGTAGATCTTTGTGAGCTGGAGACTAGCCTGGTCTACAGCCAGGGCTGTTCCACAGAGAAACCCTATCTTTAAAAACCCAAGGGAAAAACAAGATTAGAAAACAATGTTACTTAGTACTATGCTATTTCTGTTTACATGTAGAAAATTAGTACATATAAAAGCATACATGAAGCTGGGAGGTGGTGGTGCACGCCTTTAATCCCAGCACTTGGGAGGCAGACGGATCTCTGTGACTTCAAGGCCAGCCTAATCTACAGAGCGAGAGCCATGGCAGGCTCCAAAGCTACAGATAAATCCTGTCTCCAAAAACAAAACAAAAAACCATAAAAAGCATACATATACTTTGTTATTTCTATAATATGAAATGGATTGAGATAACTATAATTTGTAATAAGCAAATTTATAATAAAAAAAGAATAGTGAGATAAGAACCAATTAAACTTGAAATCGTAAAATAGCTTAGAAGTTATCTTTCTAGTTTCTTTTTTTGAAGTTTTTAACTTAGGGTAACTCTGATAGTTTAGTTTCATATTTTCTGATTCAATCTGTTAAATCAATTAATTCAGCCCCTAATTCATTCTGGGTATCTGAAATTTTCTATTTGTGTTCACACAGTGAGAATTTGCAGAGAAAGAACCTAATTACATGTAGAATGAATCATGCCAAAGTTCATATGCTTAAAAACAGGGATTCCATGTCAGCCTGAGTTGGTAATTCTTATACCGATTGCCAGCTAGTCATGTGACAATCTATTGTTAAATTTTCTTTGCAAATGTTATGAAGGTCAAAGAAACATCAGGAAGGTCGAGTAATAGAAACACAATAATTAGCTTGGCTGGCTTCTATTTAGCTTCCTCAGATCCCAAACACACCTGTTGTTCAGCAATCAAAGATGTTCGGACATTTTGCATTTCTTCATTCTTTCTTTTTTCTTGTTCTTCAAGCTGTTCTAGAAACTTAGCTTTTTCTTCCTGAAGCTTCTCTTGAAGTTCAGCAACTAGGCTTGATGAATCTTCTCTGGCTGATTCAAAGGCAGGACTTAAAAATTGAAAAGAGATTTTTAACAAACAATTATAGACACAATCACTATTTATCAAAATCATACTCAGGCTATTTACCTCCCAGAAACCCATGATGAGAGAGGTATTTCAGTGTGAACCTTGTCTATATGACTGAAAAGTAAACTAGAGAACTATATGGTGTCTTAAGTAACATGACTGAGGACAGCAAGGAATCAGGGCTTCCACCGTCACCTAGGAAACCAATGTTCTTCTCAGGCACTTCAGGACTCAGCTTTTCTATCCCTACAAATCCAACAGAAGTACACACCTGATGACTTCTTAGATGGCAAGGGTTACTTTCCATAAAATAGATTTTGCTCATTTTGATACCCAATGAATAGAAGTTAAAATGTAATCTCCAGACAAGAAACATTCATGTATTCCTGAATAAATTTGCTAATCTTTTAGGGGCGCTGACAAGGCAGCAGAGATGAGAATGTCCAGGTGAAGCCAAAGCAAGTGTAAATGAATGATTACACATTGGTTATTAATCTTACATCCTAATTTGCTTTCAAAAGATTCCGAAAATATGACTTCAAAACTTTTGAAACAAGCCAGGCAGGGTGGTTCATGTCTACAATCCCAGCAATCAAGTTTTCTGCAAGTTTATGCAAGCCAGCCTGGGCTGCACACAGAATCAAGTCAGCCTGGTCTATATGGCCAGACTTTGACTCAACCCCTATTTAAGTGTTAAACCATGCTACAGCAAAATAGAGGCTATTGTGTTATTAGAGAATTCAGTGAGCCTTTGCTTGATTTTAAGACACTGGAATCTTTTTAGAAGAGTTACATTTATAACCAGAGTTTTTAGTTAAAAGGTTGCTCACTCCCAAACAGTTTTCTATTATAATAACAGTAGCTATGTACAACTACTATTATAGCAACTGAAATTATGCAAAAAAAAATCACTGGTTTTTATCCATACATCCAAATTTACAGACAAAGCTAACTCAAATCGGAACATGCAGGCTAATCTTTCTCCACACACATTTGGAGACAACGTCTGACTTAAGGCTTAGTGCAGAAAGGCTGGAATTTTCTTTTTTTTTATTTTATTAATATTTTTTTATTTTCCATTTTAAATTTAGATAAGAAACAAGGTTGCTTCACAAGTCAGTACGAGGTCCCTCTCCCTTTCCCTCCCCTCCTCCCGTGCCCTCCCCCATTCCCCCCCCGTTATCCCCTCATTCCCCCAAGGAGGGTGAGGCCCTCCATGGGGGTGTCCATAGTCTGTCATTTCATATAGGGCAGGGCCTAGACCCTTCCCTAAGAGTTCAGGGTGAGAGTGCACCTCACATTGTTCTATGGGAGTCCAGAGACCGTGTGTATACTTGGGATGGGTACTGATCTGCTGTCCAAGGCTCAATAGATTACCTAGGCCTCCTCACTGACACCCAGATTCAGGGGGTCTTGATCAGTCCCATGCTGGATTCCCAGGCTGATGCCTGGGATTCAAGAGTTAACCTTTGTCTGGTCAGCTGTTTCTGGTGGTTCAACCAGCCCAGTCTTAATCCCTTTGATCATCAGTCCTCCCTCTCTGATACTGGCTTTCTTGAGTTCAGCTCAGTACTTAACCAGCCAGTAAATGAAGTTTCTATTTCCCGGACTCTCTGGCCATAGGATTGTAGGCTGGCACTCCCCAAGGCTGGAATTTTCTATTTCATGTAATACAACTAATTAAAAGGTGAAGGATTTATTTCCATTTTGCCTTTGAGTTGAAAGAAATGGAACTGTGCAAGTTAAAGGTTTATCAAACTAGTATGCAGGTACAGGGCTTCACACAGGACGTGTTAATGAGATGTAAAAAAGACCCAGGACTGTATCAAAGGATAACCAGGCATAGGCAGTGCTAAGAGATAATCCAGTCAGATAATACACTCAGTCCCTGAAGGAAGAAGGTCAATGGCAGTAGTTTAGGATATAGACAGTTATGGCCATATTAGATAACTCAATACAGAATTGTATGGGAACAGGCTAAAAAGGTAGAGTCACAACTAGTCACTAACAGTTATACATTCACATTTTACTGTAACAAAATACTTTCTGAATGATACCATGATAAGGGAACAGACCACAGCAAATAGGTGATAGAGAGATCTGGATTACCAAGAATGAAGCAAATTGTGTCACTGGGGCTATGTACCCACAAGGGCAAATACCTATCATGTTCTTCATCTCTGTATTGCCAGGTGTACTGTGTTTCAGGATAAATGCTGGGCTGAGATGGCACAGGTAGAAGAGATAGTTCTAGTTAAGCAAGCACATACAGCTATCACACTTACTCCCTCTGAAAAGAACCCATGGTGATTAGCACAGGTATACTGCACAATGAACCAGAGGCTTGGAGTGGGGGGGGGGGCAAAAGATAGCTTATATTGAGTTTTTGCTGAAACTATTCTACATGGTTATCAGGTACATGATTTTGTCTTATTTTATACTACCCTAAGGCCTGAGAAGGAAGAATTAACGAATACAGAAATGAAACAATAACTGTTGGTCCAATCTTTTTAGTTTGCTTTTCTAGACCACATCTGCCCTGCACTGAGAAAGCAAGGAGCTGTGTTCTGGGAAAGGGGTGCTAGTGGTGATAAAAGGAGGCACTGAAAATCAAATGTAAGTATGTACATATGCTATAGGCTAAGATTTTTAAGTGGTTCTGATTAAGCTCAACCAGACTGAGCTTAGTTAGATTCGATGGCCATTATAAACTAACTGAAATGGCCAACTGAAACACCAGATTGTAGCATTCCAAGGTACCATTTTCTTCTTTTGTTTAGAAGAACGGACCAACGAAGGTGGAACTTTTGGACATGCCCCAGCTGCCCTGTCAAATCCTACACCACAGCTTCCCTCCCATACAGGAAAAGCATTTTTTTTCCAGAGCACTCGCTCACTCTGTATCACTGTGAGACAGTTCCTCTTCAAAACTCAGATCCTTCACAAGAACCTCATTACACTACTTAGTTGCTTCCAGACCCATGGTGACTTTCAAACCAAGTATCCAAGTTACATTAAACATCTAACCAAAGAAGGTTTGCATTCATATGATACTTACATTTGTTTTGGCAGAAATATGGGAGGATAGGGTAGGGAATGCTCCCAATGTGGGGGAACAGAGGTATGAAGAGGAAATGCTTCAAATGTGGGGGACAGAGGTATGAGCAGGAGGCTTAGGCCTAGGGCTGAATCAGGACAAAAATTTATATGGCACAAGGATCAGATCCCACATTCCCTATTGGCTATTATAAAGCTCCCAAGTTTATAGCCTTAAACCACACAGCATTTAAGTAAGATGACAAGATTAAGATCCTTTAAAAGTTGGCAAATTCAGCCCACCACCTGTTTTTATAACAGCTCTCTTGCTACAGTAGTCATAATACAATCTAGTTTACAAACCCCCAAGTATTTATTTATGCTCTGGTTCTTTGCAAAAGGGTACAAAACCACTCTAGACTTGAGTTTCAGAATTCCACCTGCAGAAGCCTGGAGGTAACCAATGTATTTTCAGAAGGTAGGCTTAAAGGTTATTTTCTTAACATATCATTTGTCTTTTCCATCTGCTACTTGCATTGATGGAAGTTCAGGCATCATAACAGATTAAAAACAGCAACACAGAACTATACTTCTGACACCTTATCCTTCATTATAATGGGGGGAAAGGGAAGGTATTCTTTTCTGGCTGACATAGTTAAGAATGAATTCTTCCTTGAGTATGTATCATTTAAAATTCTATGCCAGGGCTGGAAAGATGGATCAGTGATTAAGAGCACTGGTGCTCTCCCAGAGGACCTGTGTTCAATTCCCAGTACCCACATGGCAGTTCAAAACTGACTGTAACTCTAGTTCCAGAGGATTTGGCACCCTCACACAGACATGAATGCAGCCAAAACACCAATGCACATAAACTAAAATTTAAAATTTTGTGTCATGAAATGGGAAATATTTATAAAGTTCTTTGGCCATTAATCAAAGTATAATAATACATGCATCTTATGTTAAAGTACTTACACAGATATTTCAGGTATGTATTGAGCTAGCTGTATTTTACAACAATCAACATTTGGAAAATCTATATAACTTAGTGAACTAATGTTTTTCAAATGACCAATTCATGGTGTTCACAAAAACCACATAAGTAAAATACATTTCCAGAAAGATAAATGTATGTGAAGATTATGTAAAGCTCACTGGAAGTTTCACATTCCACAATGAAACACTGCATTTTAATTTCATAAAAGAACATGGGAAGACTAAACTTATTTCAGTAAAAATATAAGGCTAAAAGTTAGGTATGGTAAAATTCTATGTATATCAAGAAAGGTTTTTAAATATATTTCTTTATGACTTATTAGTATATTTTTCATTTCTATAACTATATACCTATATTCAGGGTCAAGTAAAGATGTCTCAGGCAAAAAGGGGACTGGGCAGAAATGTTTTTTAAAAAAATCTGGCTCTACAGAAAGGCATGCGAAGGGATATAGTTGAGTATTACAACAGTTGCCTGATCTGTTCAATGGTCAGTGATGAAGGGACTGCGGGGAGAAGGACTTACTTCATGGACAATGGCTATGGATGGATAGATCTCTCAAGATGGGAATGAAATGTGAAGTCGTTAAGTTCTCTGAGGATAACTGCCTTCAGTAGCTCAGTAGATTGCCGCCTAGTCATCGGATGACAAGCTGAGAATACTGGACACTAATCAACATGAAAAGAACACTAATCTGTCTCCGCAAGTTTACTTCTCGACATGAGCTGAATTTTTTATACCAAACCCCTATTTCTGCTTAAAACTATTGTTCTTCAACTTTAAAACATGCTGTAGTGGTGCACACCTTTAATCCCAGCACTCGGGAAACAAAGGCAGGCAGACCTCTGGAGTTTGAGGCCACATTGCTGGTTCCAAGACAGCCAGGGCTACACAGAGAAACCTAGTCTCAAAAAGCAAAACAAACAAACAAACAAAAAACCAAAAAAACAATCAACCAAACAAAAAACCCCAAACAAATAACAACAACAAAACAAACAAGAAAACTCTACTGTATTCAACTAAGAAAATGTCCCATTAAAGACTTGTAACCACAGCCTCATGCCTGTCTAAGCACTAGTCTTGCCTCACTAGTTCCTAAAGCAGTTAGCTGGATATGATTGTGATCCAATCTACTAAAGACTCATTATCTAAGAGTGCCATTTTGCAAGGATGACGTAAAGTTCAAATGCCAGAGACCATCACAGAAAACTGGCAATTACTACAGTGGAAAGCAGCAAGATTTTGGCCTATGTTATTTAGAGCTATGATTTACTGCTACAGAAAGCAATTATTGGGGATGAGGGAGATAGTTTAGAGGATAAAGTGCTTGTTACACAAGCATGCTAATCTAAGATGGAATTAATTCCCCAAAACTACATAAAGCCAAGTGTAGTAGCATAGCTCTATAACCCAATCATACCTACTGGCAACAATGGAGGTGGAAAAAGATGATTCCTTGGAGGCTTGCTGGACAGCTAATCTGAAGTATAGAGCAGTGAACGTAAATAAGAGGCCCTGCTTCAAACAAGGTGGAAGTAAATGTGACTATACATGTGACCCCACCCCAAGCATTTCTTGAATTATGTTATCACTTGGCCACTGAAGGTACCCCATTGCACTGAACCAATAAGTTAAAAATGTAGTGCTATAAACTTTGATAGAAGGGCAGAAAACACAATATAAGACAGGTTTTCTGTGTTGTTTCTAGGCATCACCATGCCTAGTGATAGAGGAGACAAAAAAGAAACCTAGTGAAAAACTATACCACCTAGGAATAGGGATATAGCTAAATGGTAAAGTGCTAACCTAGCATGTAAAAGGCTCTACACACACACACACCCCTACACCTCTTTTACAGCAACTGTATTAAACAAATAAATGGCAATCTCTTTGCAAAGATTTGAGTCACGCCGGTTAAAGAACTACAATCAGATAAGGCACTGTTAAGGTAATGAATGGAGTGGGTAACCGGAGGAAGCTGCACACATTAACCAGAGTTGCAAGGGTAATTACAGAAACATAGGCTAGTAATTAAATCTGTCCACATTAAGGTATTTGTTTTTTAACTCCTACTCTCCCAAAGTAAGGTGTCATAATGGTAGTCATCTTGCAATTTTTTTCCAGTTTTTTACTACAGAATTTCAGTGATTGCGACAGAGTGAAAAACGAAAACTAACAAATGTCCAATCAAGGAAGGACAAATAACACCAATTTTAGTCTTACCTTTGAGAGGAGAGAGGATAAGAACATCCCAGGCATGTGTGGGAGAGAAGTTGCATTACGTGAAACAAATATGATATTAAAGGTCTTTTATTTGGATGTTCAATACTGGTAAAGAAATATGTACATCTGACTGCTAAGTTTAAAACGGTATAATGCTAGGCTGTTGTCTCCCACAATGCTGCTTCCACCTCTTTTGCAATCTCATACATACTTCAAGGAAGAGACTCTGTAGTTCCCAAAATCCCTTTAAGAGCTTCACGTATGCCAGTAAAAGAACACTCGCAAAGTTTGAAATACAAAGTCCTATTCTCCAGAAGTGGCTGTAGCCAGTTGTCTCACAGCAAGTTCTGACATGTAACTGAGAACTACTCGTTTTTTTTTTTTTTTTTTTTTTTTTTTTGCAGAGTAAGCCAACATTTGATGCTTTGAAGAGGTTCTTGAGTATCGTGGCAGCTTTCCAGTGAGCCATGGAGAATCAACGTTGATGAGGGCTTCAGAGTATGTCTTCTTGTTATTTCATTTAGAGCTTGACAAAGACTCCCTAAACATCAGCCAGTCTCCTCTGGCCCTTTAGACTCCACCCTTCACAACTGTTCCTGTACAGTTTGCACTGTTCAGTTGTAACAAGATGTTTGGTAAGTCAGTTTGAAGAAAATTCCCTGCTCCTGTAATCTGATTATCTCTCAATACTGGATCAAATTCTTCATCTCCTACCCCTGGTTTCTTATCACTCTAGCTTGCTGTCAGCAAGAATATTGGTAGTCTGTTTGGCTAAAGTTTTTTTTCCTTTGCTTGCTTTCTCTTTACAAGGTTTCATCTACTGATCCTGAACCTATTACTTAAAATAAACTTGAACTAGCCCATGCTGTACTTACAACTAAGCTCAATTCAAAGTTTATTTTCCCCTGCTGCAACAATTCCTTAATATTATAATTTGTTATTTCCAGTTTACCATCCAGTTCTGGTTCTAAGCTTTTCCATATTACACAGTTTTAACTTTTGTCTCCCATCGCTCTATAAACAATCCCCAAAATGTTTATTTCTCTATTAAACCCTCTCATCTCTTAAGAATACAAAAAGCTATTTCAAAATCAGCATTACATTGTAGGCAGCCAATTAAGAGTGTTTAAAAGTGGTGATGCAAGAGGCAGGAATTAAATACACAAGCATAGACACACATGCCTAGAAATATTCACCTTGAGAACTAATGGTAGGAATGATACACTAATCATGCTCTACAAGCTGTTTATTGAGCAAAATTCGATCGCAACGTTTCTAAACCCATCTGTGATAATTAAAAAATGTTAACAGACAGCAACAATAAAAATATAATGAAAAGAAATCCACAAGTCTGGAATTTAACAACATATTTCCAAACAGAGAAAACAAATGAAACAGAAGTACCAAGAAAACAACAGCGAGGAATTCTGCATATTCTCATCTGATTTAGCATTGGCTAAACCATAGTCAGAGGAAACTTTAGCACAAACACAGAAAGAGAACAAAGTTAATTTCAACTGAATTTAGTAAAAGAATTTAGTAAATTTACTAATTTCAATGAATTTAGTAAAACGCTACAAACCAAAAAGAAATTTTGAATTAAAAAATAAAAGAGCTCTCATACATTTTTCAAAATACTGGTGTATTTTGTGACTTGTTTACTTTTCAAGACAAGGTGTAGCCCAGAACAAGTTCACTCTGTATCCCAGACTTAGGTTTACAGCAATCCTCCTGCCTCAGCCTTCCAAAGCACTTGGATTACAGGCACCAGCTACCATACGTAGCTCTAGCAATAAGCTCTTTTCACATGTGTGATAAATAATATTATAATTGTAAAATTTCTTTACTTTGTGAAAATATCCCAGTTCTTCTATTTAACTACAGAAAATTAATAAATTAAGGCACTATGTAACACATACATCTGAATATTCAGGAATAATCACATACTAAGCTTAATACTTACCTTTTGGCTATTTGATTCTCAAGATGTTTAACTTTTTCTAATAACTCTTTTTCAACAAGTTCTCTCTCCAACTTAAATTCATTTAGTGCAGTTTGAATAGCTTCGTCTTTTTCACAATTAAGCTTCTGAATTAACTGTTCTTTGTCTTGTTCATGTCTCATGACCAATTTCTCCTTGTCTTTCTCAAGATTCTGGATAAGAGCCTCATACTTCTCTTCTTGCTGGGCTATTTTTTCATCTTTTTGTCTTTCAAGCACACTCAGTTCTAAGTTCAATTTGCCCTGCAGTTCAACAATTTGTTCTCTCAGGGTTTTTTCCATTTCAAATGCTTGGTGATGCAAAGATGTTACATTGCGTAATTCAGCCTTAAGTATATTACATTCTTCTTCATGTCTATTAATTAACTCTGAAATGCACTGATCTTTTTCAATTGTCATTAAAGCTCTTAACTCTGATAAGCCCACCTGATAATTCTCATTATTATCATGAATCTTTTGGTTGAGTTTACTTATTTCTGTTCTTAAGTTTTCTGTCTCTTGTTCAAGGAGAGACTTCAAAGTTTCATTTTGCTGTATTCTGCTCTCTTCCAACAAGATCTTTATCTCATCAGTTTCTGCTTCCTTTAATGCAAGTTCAACCTCTAATTTACACCGTATATCTGACAAATCAGAAACCTTGAGTTTCAATTCCTGCAACTGTTGTTCTTTCTCCTGGAGAGTTGAGGCATGAGATTCTAGTATCTGGTCAATTCTTTGTTGGTTTTCCTTTTTTAATTGCTCCAAAGACACTTTGTGATCGGTCATAACTTTCTCAAACTCATGTGTGTGTCTGACATGCATTGTGTCCTCTAACTCCTTTAGGTGGCTTTGCTCTAAGCACTGAAATTCAGCTCTCAGTGACTCTATTTTCTTGTCATTTTCAACATGCAGCTTTTTCAGGTCTTCTAACACCATCTCTCGTGACTGCTTTAGCTCTTTAATTTCACAATTTTGAGTATGCACAATATTTTCCATCTCTAACAACTTTTGATCCTTTTCATGCTGCACGATGACGGCAGATTCCTTTTCATGTTTTATCAAAGCAAATTCATTGTCTTTCTTTTGTAAAACCTCCTCAAGGGATACTAAATCTCCTTTTAATTTTTTAATTTTATTTACATTTTCTTCACTGTCTTTTACTAGAGCATCAAGTTTACATTCATACTCACTTTTTAAAGATTGGAGTTCTTTCTGATATTTTTCCTTTAGTGTTATTTCTAGGGAGCATTTTACTTTTTCAATAATGTTTCTTAGTTCTACTGCTGTACATTTTAAAGAATCTGATAAGTCACACTGTTCTTTTTGTACAAATGTTCTGAGGTGGCACAGATCTTCCTTGATGGTTTGTATGCTGACGTGAGAGTCTTGGGCAGCAACTCTGCATTTCTCCAGCTGGACATGCAGAGCAGCACGATCTCCAAACCCCTCTTTCCCACGTGCACTCGTGTCCTGCATGCGCCTACTATCTATTGCATTGATGACTGATGAATAAAGTGACTCCACCATCATTTCTGGACTTTGTGGATCACTTATAGGGTTTGGAGACGATAAATTTTCTTCAATCACAAACTCATTCACAGCAGACATAAAATCAGACTCAGGACTTTCTGCTAATGAATCCAAGTCTAATGAAGCTTGGTGAATAGTTTGTTCTGTGTTTGGATGGGAGATGGTTTCAAAATCAAATGTATGAGCATCAATGCTATCTGGAGACAATTCTTCTAAGGGACACACCGCTGGACATAAAGGATCCTGAACAGTTAGTGGAGGAGGAGTTTTTGGTGAGGTAGTAGTTGTACTTTCTATCCTTGGAGAAGTAGCTGACTGTGGGGATGCCTGACTTGTGGATACCTGGAACACAGAGTGACACTTTTAAAGATCTGTAACAATGTAAACACCTTACACAATAAAAATATTTAAAATAACTCATTTGCCTTTTGTTCATTCAGCAGATCTGTAATGGTCTGTGACATTTCATCCAAACTTTGTGCTGCTTTTACCAAATTATGTAGGGCAAGTACATGCTGGTGTAGAGGTTCAAAGTCACAAAGTAAGGGAACCCTGGAAAAGAATGCAAACAAACTGATTTTTAGTTTCTCATAACAACTGTGAACAGATTATATCAACTTTTTAAACACAATACTACAGCATGACTAGTCCTTCTTAAGCAAGGATAGGGCAAGTTGGAAGAAGCTTATGTCCCAAAAAAACCCAGAATGGTCAAGTTAGGAAAGCCAGAAGAAAATAACTAATTTTCACCATTTTAAGATCAAGTAAGTTAAAAATACTATGGCCTTTACCTGAGGAACGGCTGCACTTCTGAAGGACAAAATGATTGAAGAAACTGTAAGTCTTTTAATGATATGTCTGGAAGTTCACAGTCAAATTTTCGAGGCTTCTGAGTCTGAAAAAGGAAAAAAAATCTTTACCAATGTAAAGGATGCATTTAGATATGATGGCTGTCTTGCTATAATTAAATCCAACATAAGAAACTGACAAAAGACCATGCAAAGATGACAGGGCACACTAGCTCTGTGAATCTTTAATACTCTGGATGATGAGCTGTTTGGTGATAACTAACAAGCTTTTCCCCCCCCCCCTTTTGTCCTTGCAGTATTTTATACAAATTCTGGTATCCCATCAACACTAAACGGCGCCATGTGTTGCACTATGCATATACCTCTCCAAATTTCCCCATGACCCACAGAATGATCACAAGAGGTCTCTCTATAGTAAACTCTGTTGCTAGACCTTTGGAAGATTTCTTTCATTGCTCTTCTCATTAAAAAGAAAAAATACAAGTCCCACCACTTGTTCGTTTATAATACTGGCAAGAGTAGTATCTTTTAAAAATAACTCCAGTTATCTTAATCACTATCAAGAAGATTTAAATATGTCTGAATAATCTTCATAAAACAGGCTCAAAAATAAGTAAGTATGTATATAAATTCCAATTATGCTATTTGTGAACATTCCTAAGTAATACTGTCCTGCAGAAACATGTCTAAAACTGAGTTCCTTTAAATTTAAAAATAAATAATAAAAAAAGAAAAAAAAAAGAAATATCATCCACCAGTTAAGGACAGCAGCAAAGGGTACTCTAAAATCACTCCAGCACCAAAGGTCACGGAAAATTGTAAAGAAGGGGGAGAAAGACTGTAAGAGACAGGATTACGGAATTTGCCTTCTAGTAACCCCAGAGAATCTACACCCACAGAGTTGCACCCACAATCCACCCAAACATGAGCTGAACGAGGACAACATCAACAAACACACCAACCTATAGGGAAAAGGCCACAAGGTTGAGACCCTACACAAAGAACTATAGGCAACTGAGTAAAACAGAGAGCAGGATAGGTACCCTTCCCCAAAGATGAGCCCACTAATCAACTGTCCAGTGCCATCCAAGTTGTAAACTCTGTACATATAGATTCAAATAGCATTATATGGACTCACCAGGTTCTATTTGGGTGTGTGTGTGTGTACGTACGTACGTATATATGCATGTATCCAACACACACACACACACACACACACACACACACACACACACACACACACACAAACACGCATACAGTAACAACTGAAGAAAAAAAAAAGGCCATGATCTTGAAGGACAGTGGGAGGGGTATATAGAAAGTTTTGGAGGGAGGAAAGGCGAGGGAGAAACACTATAATTAAAATATAATCTCAAAAATTAACAACAAATATTAGTAACACATATTAAATCTTACACCAGGGAACCCTTAAAACCAAAACCATTTTTTGCTGATTTAATCCTATCACAATTTATTCTGTTTCTGATGTTTCTAATCCTGAAAAAAGAAGTTTGATAATATTCAAATTTAGTCACGGTTAGAAAATAAATACATACACAAAATGAGGAGGGCCAGGAGTCCAGTCCCTTAAACAGACGGTTTCTTAAAAAGGATTTCCCTGTATGAAGAATTAGGAACATGATTATTTTAGAAATTATTTAAGAGGCAAAAAGAAACAAGAAAAAGGGTGAATATATTAACACTTACTAAATAATTTCCCAAAGGATTCCCTTTTTGACTTTTCAGCTTCATATAATTGCTTTCCATCTTTGACTAAAGCACCAGCCCACTTAAAAGAAGAAAGTTTATGTTAATAACATGTGTCAATTATTAATGTTCATACATAAATAAACAACTGGAATTGCTTACCTCTCTGTAGTGTTTAATGAACATTTTTCTCCTTACAACCTCAACAACAGCTAGGCAATACATCTGAGGAACTGTGCTAAGAGCCTCAACAATCTTGACTCTTTCTAACAGCTCTATTACAAGGCGGAGCAGTGCTTGCAGTTTCTCTCCATCTTGATCTGCATGAAGCATCACAAAACAACACCACCTATAGAATAAGATTCATTGTTTTCAACAGTCCCAACATCTGCTGAAAATCATCTTGTAGGTTAAGTGTGAGGATCAAGACTAAATTCTAACCCCAGGGTTATTCAATCTGCATTTGAATGAAGCCATAAGGGAAAATTACATTATTACTGAGAGAAAAAGCATGAACTCTAAAGAGGCTATATTAATTATGACAAAATCTCTTACTTCAGTCTGACATGTAGATTGTTTGCTAGCTCTTGTTTGGCAGTGGTACACTTCTGTTTAATATCCAACAATTTTCTGTGGTTTTGCAACATAATCATTAGCTGATTTGCATGACTCAGGCACAGATCAGGTAATACAGATGCATCCTTCAAGTTTTCAGCTCTCATCTGATTAGCTAAAAATCCCTTTGAGAAAAAAAGTTTTTATTTGTTAGATAAATGATATAAGAACTAAATTAAGAGAAAAACAGACAGGGCTGGAGAGATGGCTCAGCCGTTAAAGGCTAGGCTCACAATCAAAAATATAAGAGAAAACAGACAATGGGCCACTTTCCACTAAAATCACTAATTTCCTTATCTCACACTAAAGGGGAAACAAAAGCAGGGTCTAAAAACCAACTTACAACAATATGTATCTTGAAATTTGCATTAAAATAACTGATCCAAATGTAAGCCCAAAGCAAACAAATACTGGGAAACACAAAATTTAAGCTACCTTACATTTTTATATTTCTTTGGTTTTTCTTACTATAAACAAGCACATAAAATATCAACATCACAAGGAATAAAAATACAACAACCCCTAGAAGCCACAGTACTCCAAAAGCAGAGGTAGAAGGAAACAATCTGAGCTATAATGGAAAACTCCAGTCCATGAAATACAGAGGGTGGAAGGGAAAGGAAAGAGGGAATGAATGGAGGAGGTAGAGCAGTTTGAGATGAAATTCAGCTATTTAGCTCTGGGGACTGGAAATCAAGTGGTCATACATATAACGGATTAGTCAATTTTCCAAGATTTCTTATTTTCTTGTCCTATTTGTACAACTTCCTTTATTGTTTTTTGAATAATCATTTCTCTGTATAACACTGGGAGTTCTGCAAAATGCTTTGTAGAATCAGTTGCCTAAAATACCAAAGGTCTTTTTACCATTGCAATGGTCCTGCTGCTAATGATGGCTTACGCCATCCTGCCCTGCTCATTTTTTATTTTAATTTTAAATAGCTTGTTTTACATGTCAATCCCAGTTCCCTCTCCCTCCCCTCCTCCCGCACTCCCCCACCATCCCCCCCCCCCCCACCCTATTGCCAATTCCTTCCACATAGGACTCAGTCCTTTCACTGAGTCCAGGCTGAGAGAGCATCCCTCTTTGTGTTATGGATGTCTGTTTGTATTCCACGGATAAACACTGATCCACTGCTCAGGGCCCCATAGGTTGCCCAGGCCTCCTCACTGACTCACATTCAGGGGGTCTGGATCAGTCCCATGCTGGCCTTCCAGCTGTCGGTCTGGGGTCCAAGAGCTCTCCCCTGTTCAGATCAGCTGTCTCTGCTATTTTTGCCATCCCATTCTTTGCCAATTTGTTCATTGCTCCTCTCTCTCTGTCACTGGGTTCCTTGGGTTCAGTTCAGTGTTTAACTGTGGGTGTTTGCCTCTGCTTCCATCAGTCACTGGATGAAGGCTCCAGGATGGTTATAGACATCAAGTTCATTATCAGGAATGGGCATTCGGGGTGGTCTCTACCCTATTGCTTAGCTTGCCAATTGGTATCATCCCTTTAGATCACTAGAAGTCACAATGGTGCCTGATCTGTCTTCTAACCTATGATTCCCTCTTCCCCCATCCTACCCCCCAAGTCAACCTTCCTGTTCCCCCATGGCCTACTCTCTCTTCCTCTTCTCCCCCTCTCTATTTCCCAGCTCCCCCCCCCCCCCCCCCCACTGGCCGTGTTCCCCATCTGTTCAGAGGATCTTGCCTCATTTCTCTTCTCTTGGGTACCATGCATATCTTTTAGGTTCTTTCCTGTTTCCCAGACTCTCTGTCAGTGGAAGTACAGACTGGTATTATATTGTTTTAATACATTAAAAAATCTTTTCCACTCCAGATGTGGAAAGTACTTTCATGGTTTCTATTTCAGTTTTCATCTATGGTACCTGAACCGATCATTAAGAGTACACATTGACTGTGTGTGACGGCAGTCACCTGTAATCACAACAACCAAAGAGGAGGCAGAGGCATGTTAGGCTGGGTAACAGAGTGAGACCCTGTCTCAAATGAGAATAACAACATAGAACATGTGTTTCCCCCTCCCCCATTACATGGTATATTGTTATAAATCTGAATTGTCCCCACAAGCTCACGTTTCAAATGATGGCCATCACTTGGTGTTGCTCTGGGACGTAAGACTTGGCTGAAAAATGGTTCAGTGAGGAGGTATGGGCCTTTAGCTACAGCTCTAGCTCAGCCTAGTCTGTTCCATTCTTTGCTTCTGGATCCTATTTTCTTAACCTGCTAAGAGTCATGTTGTACCTCTGCTACTTTTCAGGGTTAGGGTTAGGGCTAGGGCTAGGGTTAGGGTTAGGGTAGCTGCTTTTCCTGAATCTGTTCCTGGTGCCCCACCTTCACCATCACTGCAGACTGTACCCTTCTGAAACCAAACAAAATAAACCTCTTTTCCCTTAAGTTAACTTTTTTGTTAGGTATATAGTCACAGTGACAGGCAAACCTAATGAATACATATGGAAATAATAATGCATTCACAATAGCGAAGGGAAAAGTGAATAGATGTGCACACTAAATAGATACTGCACTTAAAATATACAAAAATAGCCAAACGCAATACCTGAGCAAGCTCTTTCTGTTCATTTACCAGCCGGCCACAGCTAGCAATCATCTGGTCCAGGGCATACAGCCGATCTTCAAGTCCTTTAATGGCTTTCATATTCTGATTATCAAGTTTGGCAATAGTTTGATGGCATTCTAAGATAAATGGTTGAATAATCTTTGGGTCAAGCTAAATAAAAAGGAAATACTTATGAATAAAATCTTCTGGAAATAATTTCAACTATATTTCACACTAATTGGATACAGAGTCAGATAGAAAATGATACAGAAAAACAATGCACTGTAAATCAAGTTATACTTCTAAAGGAAGGTTTATAGGACTCATCTGATCCTACAAAATCAATCCCAGGAAATCACAAATCTCAATCAATGCTATAATTTAATCAGTTCTCAATTTCCCTAAGAAAATGGTTTTTTTTCAGGTCATCAAAGTCATATAAAATAGAGCTAATGACAAACCCATTCTTGGCTTGATCAATACACTTTCTAATTCTTTAATCCTGCCTGTTAATCTGGCTTTAATTCTACAACGTGTTTGGTGGTTACTATTTCCTAGTAAAAACTATCTAGTCACAAATATCAAATAACCTTGATTCATTGTAGGGGCTTAGAACTTTGGCATAGCAGACCACTTCTGCCAATCTCCTCAGATTCTACTGGTTCCTTCACAAAATTCTTCTCAGACTCTAATTACTCCAATTACAATTATAGTTTTAGCATTAAGCACAACACACATCCATCCATCCATTTTAAGGCAGGGTCTCACTCATGGAACTCAAACACATTGCCTAAGCTAGTTTCAAATTTTCAGTGTTAGGATTATAGGTGGGAGCCACTGCCAATAGCTTTTTATTACTTGATCATTACTATTACTGTAGTACTGAAGACTGAACCTGGGCCCTCGGGAGGCAAGTGTTTGACCTCTAAGCAAAAAGATATGACTTAACATGCACATGGGATCAAAAGACAATTTCTGAGAATCAGTTCTCTCCTTTCTTCATGTCCTAGGGACTGAAATAAGGTTTTCAGGCTTTTACACACTGAGTCATATTGCCAGATGCTAAGCTCAACTTTTGATGGAGGAAAACAAGCACAGCTTTTCAAGGCTCAAACATGATTTTCAATGCCTGCTAATAACATGAAGATATCAGCCAAGTTGCTTTTTCAACCGCGCGCGTTGTGTGTGTGTGTGTGTGTGTGTGTGTGTGTGTACACGCACACACACGAATGTGAGCTCTCAAAAGCCATGATATACACGCAGAGGTCAAAACTGTGGGAGTCAATTCCCTCTCTCTACCATCTGGGACACATATCATGTTCAAGTTATCCTTTATCCACTACACCATCTTACTGATCAACATCTTTGTGACTGTCCTGCTGAGAGGAAAAGACGGTATTTGGCTAGGCTCTTTAAAGGGTGCTAGAGAGAGGGTAAAAGAGGAAAACAATTCAAGTGAACAATGGTCAGAAAGAGAAAAACAATGGTTTTATCTTGAATTACTTTACCATAATTCTTAAATCCTTACTGTAATAAAATTTTACTTACTTAATAATTTGTGGAATACTTTATTCCATTTTCCCAGATGACAAAACTATAATTTCCAGGTAGTTTTTGGCTAATATTAATCATATTAATAATTATTTGTTCAGGTTTCCATAATAGTGCTAGATTAATTTTACTCATGAGATCTCTGACATACACATGGCTAATTAAAGAAGTTGTAAGACTAATTTTCTAATTGTCTCTATTTCTAACTATATAACTTTTAAACAAACTGTCCTCTATACAACAAGCAAAATATTCAATAAATAGCTGAATGTGTAAGGACACACCTTTACTCTCAGCACTTGAGAGGCAGAAGAATCTCAAGGCCAGCCAGGGCTACATAATGAGATCCTGTTTTATTAATAAATAGATAAAGTAAAATAGTAAGTTGCTTGAAAGAAATAATAGAAACACTAAGGGTCAATAAACTCTGGGAAGTTTACATTGAGCTAAGTATACATGTTAAGCCATTTGTTAACCTGAATCATACATCTTCTTCATTTATAAAACAGACGTCTACAAAAAAAAATGAATCAACAACCATAGAATATTATGTAATACAAATGCACAAATGTCAAGCTAGGGATTCAAATTGCTAAGAAACTTATAAATATTGCCAGGTGGTGGTGCACGCCTTTAATCCCAGCACTTGGGAGGCAGAGGCAGATGGATCTCTGTGAGTTCAATGCCAGTCTGGTCTACAAAGGGAGTTCCAGGACAGTCAAGACAGGCACACACTGTGTTGGGGGAGAATATTATTTTAAGGTGTGTTACTTTTGTTTATGCTATGAAACATTTGTTTAATGCTGTAAAGATGTGTTGCTTTTGTATATGTTGCATCTGTTTAACTCTGTAAAGCTCTTATTCTTTGCTTGTCTAAAACATCTGATGGGTTAATGAAGAACTGAATGTTCAATAGCGAGGCAGGAGAGAGAAATAGGAGGTGCTCGCAGACAGAGAGGCTAAATACAAGGAGAAACGAGAAAGAAAATGAGAGGGGCCATCTACAGAGTCAGCCATGGACTAAGTAAAACAAGGAGAAAACCCAGAAACAAAAGGTAGATGGGATAATTTAAGTTAGAAAAGCTGGCAACAGCAAGTCAAGCAAAGGCCGGGCATTCATAACTAAGAATAAGCCCCAAAGCCCCACAAAAGACTAAAGAGTCAAAAGAGTAAAACATGACACTACAACCCTGTTTCAAAAAACAAAGCAAACAAACAAAAAAACAAAAACAAAAATACAAGACACTTAAATCTGCAAGTGTCAGGGCTGACGTTTGAGCGATTTCAAACACTAAATTCAAAAAAACTCATTTCCAGGGTAAGTATCTGAAACTCAGTCAGAAATATACATTATGAATAACAATAGAAATGGGATTAATCTATTAAACTAAGGATGTTAAATAGAAACATAAAGTATCTAATCTGGGCATCTTTTATTCATTATGTTGCTGGAAAACAAAACTACTGCTATGAGATAAACAGTACTCACTAAATGAGAGACAAAGGTGGTATATCTCACAGTGGATCTGGTAGCAAGACCTGTACTCTTAGCTACTCCAAAGGTTGATGCTGGAAGTCTAAAGTGGACTACACAGTCAAAGTCAGTCTGGGAAAGTTAGTGAGGCTCTGTCTTAAAACAATACGAAATACAACACAGTGGAAGCGTGCTTCCCTAGCAAGCATCCGATTTTATGTAAAATTATTCTGGATTCTAATAGTTTTTGTAGCAGGCTTTCTTGAACCTTCATCCCCCAAATCACGGCACAGAGACTTACTGGTAATTATGAAAACTTGGCCTCAGCTTAGGTTTGTTTCTAACTAGCTCTTATAACTTAAATTAACCCATTTCTAGTACTCTACATGCTGCCACACAGCCTGTGGCTTTTACCGCTACTCCTGTGTGTCCTGCTACCTCTCCTATGTCTTCTGGCATCTGTCCTGTACCTAGATTCGTCTCCTCTTCCTCTTTCTGTATGTCCTGCCTATACCTCTTTCTGCCTAGCCATTAGCCATTCAGCTCTTTATTAAACCAATCAGAAGACACCTTGGCAAATACACATCTTCACAGTGCATGAAATGATTATTTCACGACAAGTTCTAATTATAAAAAATGACACCAACTACTGTGTCCACTTACATGGTTGATCATCGAGTCAAATGGAAATTTAAGGTACTAAATATTTAAACAGGAACATTAGTATAGCTTTCATTCATTTTTGATAATAATCTTTGCTGGGGCAAATGCCTAACTGAATGAAATACCTACCTATTAGATGTTATCAATGATCTAGATGATGAACTTTATTAGGAAACCAAGATCGTAGAGGTAGCCATTTACTTATAACTTAAGGTAGACAGCGCTGTTCCAGGCATCCTAGGCCATGTATTTGTTTTTTTTTTCTTTAAAGAATGAATGAATCAAGGATCAAATCTGTTTTCTAATTAAGTGCCCTGTAAGCACTTTTGTATTCTGTTAATTGAAATCTTCCAAATGTTAGTAATGTTTTATGTCAAACAATTTCCTTTCTGATGCCAATGTTCTATATCATCTCACAGAGCAGATACAGAGAACCATTTATCCCAGGTTTGCATCTAGAAGTGTAACTAACCAATGAATTTTTAAGGAGATGGTATAGTTAAAATTCCTCATGTAGTGAGGTGCTCACTGAGAAAAGACAACTTTCTCTTTTCTTTTTTTTTTAAATTTACTGTTTGTTGCTAGCAGGACAACCTCCTTAAAGTCAAGTCTCAGGTGTATCATGTAGGAAGGTTTTTGTTTGTTTTTCAAGACAGGGTCCTGGTTGTCTATAAACTCATTCTGTAGTTCAGCCTGGCTTTGAGCTCAGAGATCTGCTTGCCTCTGCCCATGGAGGGCTGGGATTAAAGGCCAGTGCCTCCACTGCGTCAAAAAACAAGTTTCTAGATGATGGAAATGTTCAACACTTTATTTTAGTTGGTAGCGATTTATTCATGAAATCACTCAAAATTTATGTAAACTCTTCTCACTGCACTAAAATTTATAATCTCAAATACTCCATAATCAATTTAAAAGCATGGTTACAAGTAATTTGATCCAATCTCCACGTTCCAATCCAAGGTATTTTGTTTAATCGTAACTTAAGAGCTCCCCCCAACACACACAGATTACTTACCCTGCTCATAGAATCAAAGCACTTCCTGACCAAAGATTCCACATCATTAGGTCTGTCTTGAACATTTATCCAGTCTAACAAGGAAACATTAAAAAAAGGCAGATCACTGTCTTTAACATCTACTGAAGCTTCTTCTTGCTGGACAGTACTTTGACAAGATTCCCTAAGTCCTCTGCCAAGTTCAGCATCGGTGGGATTGGGAGCTACATGCTCCACTGACTTGTGAAATGAGGTTAACAAGGATGTGTTAGTTGTTCTAGGCATATCAGGAGAGAGCACCAGTTCAGTGGGTCTTTTCATCTCAGCTTTCTCTGAGCCTTCATGTTCATTTAAAGAATCCAGTCTTCCCAAACATTCCCTGTAACTATGTCTGGTTAGGCACTCCAACAGTGGAATCTTGGCCATTACTGAAACCGCAGTTCCTAAACTTAATATACAAAACATAAGTCAGTAAAGCAAGTGCATTCTAGTATCATCCAATGTAATCACAGTGTACTTCAAAACACCAACCTTACCACCGCTCTTTTATTAACCAATTAAAAGTACTGTTTAGTAGAGGGATGACCATTAACTTTAAAATATCAATAGCAAAGCTAGCAATATTTTACTAAACAGGTAGACACTAACTTCTTAATCAAACTCTTTTCAAGTAAAACTTTATATAAAAAAAGGCAAAGATTGACCAGCAGTCCCTCAGACTATAACCCTGCCTTTAATACAATAAAATATATTTAATGTACTGAAAGTATAGGATCATAATTTAGCCTTAGGGTAACACTTATATTCATCATATCAGGAAAATGGATGAGAGATAAGTTGCTAAAGGATATGAGGAAAATATGAAATCCCTGAGATTTCATAAAGCTGTATTGTATACAAAAAGATTCCTTAAAGTAAATTGATGCGGTTAGTAGGACTCGCTCCAAAATCGGTACTTGGAAAGGTTATTGTAACAAATAATTAAAAATGATCTTTTTAACACTGGTCAACAAAGACCAAACTTGTCCATAAACAGTCAATCTATAATACTGGAAAAAAAGGAGTCTTGTGACCGGGAGTAAAAATGCTCATTAAATCCAGGAAAGAACTTAAGAGTAAGTCTCCAGCATCACTTAAAAAATGCAAAGATTAAGAAAGGGAAGGAAAATAAGAGAACATGCAGTCACCTTTAATGCAAATTTAAACTAAAGAAAAAGAAAATAAAAAACCAGAGTAGAAAATCTGGAAAGTACATATATGAGCATACATTCACAATAGTTATTCTAAGGTTCAATTAATGCTCATTTGCATATTAATTATAGATTTGCAGTTCTTTCCTTCCAAAACCCAATGGTACTTGATGCCTATATGTAAAGAACTAGGATGGCAGTATTTTAAAAATAACTTAAAAATGTCCATGTCTTATGGCCTGTTTATGTATCTGAGATGTGGGTTCTGGTCTTTTTTCCCCTCCACTTTACATTTCTCTATGGGGAAAATATAGAAACAGATTCTAAGTTTTATAAATTATTCCAAGCCTTTTATGTAATTAAATCACTCAAGAAAAAAAGTATGTGGGAGTCAATATACACACTTTTAAAGAACTACATTAAAAACCACAATTTAGAGTGGGCATGGTGGAACATGCCTTTAATGCCAGCATTTGGGAGACAGAGGCAGGCAGATATCTTGTCAGGTCAGCCTGGTCTACATAGTGAATTAGAGAACAACCAGGGCAGCATAGAGAGACCATGTCTCAAACAAAACAAAACAGCATACAACCCAAAAGCCACAACTTAACTAAAGCATGACTCTAAGAATGGACCAGTGAGATGGTTGAGTGGGTAACAGGAGCAGCCTGAATCCCACAGTGAAGGAGAGAACCAACATCTTACTTCTACATAAGCACCACGGAACACACATGCCTATACTTACATATAATAATGCTTAAAAAGACTCTAAAATTAATCATTATTTAAATAAACATATGGCTTCCAAGGAACAAACATCCAGTGACTAAAAAGCTATGGATAAATTTTAAAGGCATTTAAAAAATTCACTTAATGATAAACATACTGAGTAAGTTTTAACTTGATGTCTTCTATGGATTGCAGATAATCTGAATAAATACTTTCAAACTTGAAAAGAAGCTTCTGATATGAATTTGAACAGTCCTCCAGATTGGCCATGATTGCAGCCCAGCCTTGGTGCTGAAGATGTTCATCATGGACAAGACCTTCACAGAAAGAGCAAAGCTTCTTGGCAACTTCATACATTTCCTGTTTGAAAATGAAAAATAAAAGAAAGCAATGGTTTAGACTAATATAAACATATATTGAAATTGTAAGGTGGGAGTGCACATGTACAAGCTGTGGTACATATGTATGTGGTATATGTGCAAAAGTATCGGTAAGTCATATGGACGGGAAAGGATTGTGGTTCCTTTTCTGAGAACTAGAAATAAGGAAAAACACCTGTTTTTACTAAAGTTACCTGAGCTCTATTGTCTAAGCAACTGAAGAGTGTTCAAAAGTAATTATGTGACTATCCCCATTTTGGGGAGATGCTGGGCAAGTCATACTTAAGATATTCTTCTCACACTATATAGTAACACAGGGGACTAAACACTTAAAATTAGGTATATTAACTGTACAGTATAAATAAATAAGATTTCTTTTTGCTAATTGAAATTGTGTACATATGTGCATGACAGATGAGTAGAGGTGCCTGTGAAAGTGAGAGAGGCCTCAGGTACCCCAGAATTGGAGCTTTGGCAGCTGTGAGCCACCTGACATGGGTTCTGGGTTCCAAACTCAGGTGGAAAGGCAATGCATGCTCTTAAACACTGTGCCACGTAACTTTAGCCCCAACCCTGCACTTCATTACAAGAGGAGGTTATAATAAAGTGTATCTTTAAAAAGAGGCCTCTGTGAAACAACTATCAGAAAGACACTCATTGCCAAGCAGCTGAGTTAATCCCAGGAGATACATGGCAGAAAAACCACTAGATTTTCTCTGACTTCTATAATTTTTACATATATGTGCACACAAGTGTGCATTCACACAGGCATGCACACACACTAAAACAGAACATAAAAAATGTAAGAGGAGAAAAAAGTTGGGTATTTCTCATATCCCCTATGTAATTTTGACTTCTCTGATAAAAGACTTGAATGCTTTTAGTTAAAAGAACTGTTTAGATCTTACCACTGCAAGTTGTGTCCTTGAAGCAACAGTGTGAAAAACCGCAGGCATCATAAGGGACTCCTCAACTTTTATTTCCATGTCATTTTCTGTTGAAAACGTAGTTTTAGGAATAGCAGGTGCACGGTCACATAAGATCATTTCTTTATTAAAAAGAAAAATTGGATTTGTGTCCTGTATTTAAAAAATGGAGAAAGGACAGAAATAATAATGTTATACATATTGATCTTGTACACTGCCCTTAATACAAGAACAGAGTCCCTGTTCCCCATCTGATGAGAAAGCAGAATATGAAGTTTATTGACACCCACCGTTCCAGCGCTGTAGGTACACACTCTTCGATCTGCAGCCATGCATTCTCCTCCATTGACCACCAGCACTTGGTGCTGAATAGCAATCTTGTATTTGCTTTGAATGGCATGCTTAAGGTCAGCCACACTTAAAAAAAATAAAATCCAGTTATTTACATATGCCTAATGTCTTTATAAAAGCAGCACTTCATAAAACAACACATACCATAATACACTATTGAATTTCATCTTATATTTTTTTCTCAAACAAAAAAACAATAGCAATAGAAGTTTACTATTTCTGTCGGGGTGGTGGTGCATGCATTAAATCCCAGCACTCAGGAGGCAGAGGCAGGCGTATCTCTGTGAGTTCGAGGCCAGCTTGGTTTACAGAGCAAGTACTAGGATAGGCTCCAAAACAATACAGAGAAACCCTGTCTTGAAAAACCAAAAAAAGAGACAGTTTACTATTTCTAAAAATAGATACTACAACTAGCTGTCAGTGAGTTAAATGCCTATTCTGTCACATCTAAAAGTGAGCCCATAAAATACAGGCAGTACATACAATTACTTTTCTGGGTTTTTGCATAATAGTGAAAGGTATAAACAGACATACATGTGGCATCTAGTTTGGTAGAATTGCTCAGAACCCAGAATTTATGTTAAGATTTTCACAAAACATTACAGAAAAACATTAAGTCTAAACAATGTGAAAACTCCTTCCTTTAAAAAAAATTATAATCCATAGTCACATGCTATAATCTGTTATCCCAGAAAGAAGAGCAAGTTCAAGACCAGCCTGGGCTTAAATAATGAGAACAGTAATCCCTTTAGAGGTAAAACTGAATCAATGAAAACAAATGTATTTAAAACATATACTAGGGCAGAGGAGATAGCTCTATGGGTAAAGTGCTGTGCCCATTGCACAAGCAAAAGGAACTAAGTTTGAATCCCCAGCTCTCATATAAAAGCAGGCAGTAAGTGGTGGTCCATGTCTGTAACCCCAGCACTAGGTAGGGAGGAGACAGGCAGATCACTGGGATGCACTGGCTAGCCAGTCTAGCTAAATCAGAAAGCACCAGGTTGAATGCAAGCCCCCTGTCTCAAGGGGTAAAAAGGTAGAGGCTGACAGGCATCTCTATCTTCTTTCCACACATATGTGCGCACACACATGTGTACACAAATGAACATATACACATGCATACTCCATGTATGAAACAAAATAAAAATCATAAAATCAGCACTTAGTGGCATATGTGTGTGTGTGTATATTTGGTGTATATGTTGGTATGTTCACCTGTGCCTGCATGTGGACATGAGAGGTTGTCCTCTATTGCTTTCCACCGTACATTGTAAGATTGGGTTTCCCACTGAACCTAAAGTTCACTGCTTTGGCTAGACTCAGTGTACAGCACACCCTAGGGATTCATCCCCCCACAGAGCTGGGTTACAGGTACACACTCAAACATCAAGTTTTTTACATGGGCATTGGGAATTCAAACTCAGGTCTTCATGCTTGCACAACAGAAACATCCTTCACCCCTAAGCTAACTCTCCAGCTTCCATTGTGCCATTTTTAAAAAGCCTTCAATAGCACACATTAACTATACATAACGTGTCTCATTTTATGATACTTTTACAGATTTTCACATTCATTTTCCTCCACTTATCTCCCTTTCATTCCAGTGACTTCCCATCTTTTTTCTACTTTCATACTGACTTCTATTAAAAAGTTTAATTAGGTTTACCTCAAGAACATGGGTGAGGTGTTATATGTAAGAGTATGAGGCAACTTACCAGTGGATCCACTCCTAAAGAAAATGTGTCTCTGCCTCCAGCACCCACTAACTGACTGGATCCCCAGGAAGACAAAAACACACACACAAAAAAACCCTTTTTAGTCTGTGCATATGGCCAGAGGCCATAAGGCACCAGATACCCTGGAACTAGAGTTACAAGTGGTTGTGAGTCACCATGTCAGTTCTTCAGACAGAATTTAGTTCCTGTGCAGGAGCAACAGTGCTCTTAAGTGCTGAGCCATCTCTCCAGTTCACTTACTGTTTTTAGAATATTATTCAAGCTATTGGTAATAAATTCAATGAGATTAGCTTATTCTGCAATGCTATATATAAAGTAAGTAGTCTTGAAAATGCCCTGAGAGCTAATGTTTGCATTTTATAAGCTTAGGAGAGAGAATAGTCAGTCAAATAGTTGACATCTTTGTCAAAGCAGAAAATGATTAGAAATGAGCTGCATTAATTTGGATATTATTTAGTCTCTCCTTTAAGCCAAACAAACCCACTGACTTTATTCACACAGAATAAAAACAGCAAATGGACAAGATGACTCAGTGGGTAAAGACATTTACCCTCAAGCCTAATGATCTGAATTCAATCCCCAGAATTTAGATGGTAAAGAAAAAAAAATGTGCATAAACTGTCCTCTGGTTTCCACAAATGTACCCTTTTACACATGCATGTGTACACATACAAACCTATACCGAAATAAAATGAAACACAAAGTTTTAAAACACGAAAACTACAAAGTGAAGAATACTACTGAACTTTTAGTTTGGAATTACCCTTATTTTAGTGTGACTATATGGTCATTCAAAAAGTCACAAAACACAATTTAATTTGAATTTAGCACTCTAGAATGGTAACAATTATGCATGGTGAGTAGGGAAAAGAAACTTGAGACTTGCGGTAGGACCTACCCCCAACCCCCTCTCTGTGTACCCCTGGCTGACATGGAGCTCAGATATTCTGCCTACCTCCACGGTGACTGCTGGAACAAAAAGTGTATTCAGCATGCCTAGCTGGTTAGTTTTTTCACTGACGATTGGCTATCTTTTAAAAAGATTTGTTAATTTTATTATTTTTATGTGTATTGTGCTGCCTGCAGAGGTCAGGAGAGGCCACTGGAACCCATTGAACTGAAGATATAGATAGCTGTGAACTGCCATGTAAGGGCTGAAACTGAAACAGTGCTCTTTCAATAGCAACAAGTGCTCTGAGTCACAAAGCCAACACTCGGGCTCCAAGTTGTTTTAGAAGAACTTTGTTTTTAATGTTTGTATGTATATGCACATGCGTGTGGATACACATGCACAGGAAGTTGCAACTTCATGTTATCCTAAGGAAGATGATTTACCTCCTTGGAGTCAGCATCTCTCATTGACTAGAATTTCACCAAGTTAGGCTAGACTTTCTAGCCAGTGAGTCCCAGGGATCCTCCCAAACTGTGGTTACAACCACACACTGTGACAACTGTCAATCCTATGTGGGCTCTGGGCATTCAACTCAGATTGTGCTTACAAGGCAGGCGATCTTATTGACCCATCCTACATCACAGCAGGATGTTTTCTTAAAATAAGGTAACTTTTTACATAAAGTTAAGATGGAAAACCAGAGCATAAGTGAAATACAACTCACGTTTGCACAGTTAGCTCAGTATCAAATGTCAGAGTGGTCCCAGTGTTAACCAGAAACACATATAACTTCATGATGATCTTTCTGGAATCTGTGAGCCGTACCTCACACTCCAATGCAGTTCCTAAAGAGAAAAACAAAGGGAATAATTCAATAATAAATTCAAATACCTTCATCATTATGATAGAATAGTCTTACTATACAACAAGAACAACAAAATAAAATGTAGGTTGATTTTAAGATAAGTGGATTGTATAATGCAGTCAACTGATTTTTTTAATGAAACTAGTGAAAAGCTTAACAGTTCTACATCAGACAGTTGGCTTCTTTGCAGGAAGAAAAAGGCCCATCACTAGAAAAATAATGTGTGCAATTTTTCTTGCTTTCTATATTCAGAATAAAAAATTTGGGAGCCTAGAGGTGTAGTTCAACAGAATAATTCATTTTTATGCAAGAGGTTCTATATTTAATCCTCCATTGAGGATTAAAACAACATAAAACATATGTGTGTGCATGTGGGGAGGGGGGTTATATACTTGTAATCCCAGAAATCAGGAGGCAAAAGCAGGAAGATAGCTTTGAGTTCAAAGCCAGCCTGGGTTACATATTAATTAAGTTCTAGGCCAGACTAGCAAGCAGTGATTCTGATCTCCAAACAAATAAAAACTTAACCCTCAAAGGCACTGCTCCTCCTTCTTCCTATTTCAGGGTGTAAGTAAAACTATAATTAGCCATTATTAGGCTAGGAAGATGGCTCAGCAGGTAAAAATACTTGCTGCTTAAGCAAAAGGATCTGAGTTCAAAACCTAAACACCTATAACAGTAGAAGTCATGGGCAAGCTGATAATCCAAGCTCTGTCAAAGAAGAGGCAGGAAACTCACTGGGTCTTGCAGGTCACCAATCCAGCTCCAGGTTTAGCAACAGATCTTATCTCAAGGGAATAAGGTAGAAGAATGATAAAGCAGGACAAGAGACATGCTCCTCTGGTCTCCAGGTCTGGATATGGGACCATACATTGTGTGCACACACATTCAGAGACAGTTAAAAGCTATTACTTCAAGCTAAAAGAAATCATCCCCCTTTCTACTTGGTTGCTTCTTAATGTATATTTTATCCCCATGATGAGCCAGACTACTCCACAAAAAACATCGCTCAACCCCCTTTTTATGCCCAAAAGCCAGCAGTCAGGTAGGTACTAGACAGCTTAAGATAGTTAAGAGAATTTGATGCTCTTTGTAGGACTTGGGTTCAATTCCCAGCACTCAAATGGTAGTTCACAACGGTCTGCAATTATAGTTCCAGAAGATCCAATTCTTTCTTTTAGTCCTTGAAGGCATCAGGCACACACATACATGCAGCCAAACATTCATATAAGGAAAATAAAAATAAACAAAAATAAAAAGAACAAAAGATCACCCTCTCCCACTAACTATAAACTAGATAGATCTTAAAATATATAAAACAATTTCTGCCATTAACTTGTTCAATGTAAAAACTCATTTATGAAGGTTTCATAATGAGAAAATATGAAGACTGAACTTTAAAACCTTTGAGGCTTTTTGCTTTGTTTTTCACAAGTAGGAGGTAGAAATCCTTTAGACAAATGAACTTCTCAGCCTAGGTATGTTTATATTCTTTCCATGAGTCATAAAATACTATGTTTTTTAGGTAAAAAAAAAAAAAGACAAAATCTGCCATCAATGGAGCAAAACTGCAGTTCTGAAGGTGTGTGTATGACTTACCACCAGGTACTGTGAAGAGTATTTCTGTTCTCTGAAGAGATTACAAGTGGCTTATATGTGCTTGCTTGATATTGGCAAATGAGTGGCACTACTGGTGAACCTCAGAGAACTGGAAAAGACAGATTTCAGTCATTATAGAGAAATAAATTAATGTCAAAACAACATACAGTTAAGCATTCTCTTTTCCTTTAAAGCTGCCATCTACAACGATATTAAAATTACGCCTTTCATCTTACAGCAAAGTAAGTGGTCATACAGACAACAACACTTAAAAAAAAAAAAAGAGGTCCCTGGCTAACAGACAGCAGGAAGCCAGGAACCTCAGGTCTGACAATTCTCAATGAACTGAATTTTGATATTACATGATTCTGAAGAGACCATTTCCCAGTTGTTCACCCTATAAGATACTAGCTCTAAATATAATAACATATTACATGATTCTGAAAAGACCATTTCCCAGTTGTTGACCCTATAAGATACTAGCTCTAAATATAATAACATATTACATGATTCTGAAGAGACCATTTCCCAGTTGTTCACCCTATAAGATACTAGCTCTAAATATAATAACATATTTATGTTGCATCAAATAAACATGTTTGAAGCAATTTTTACTCAGCAAGAGATAACCAACACAATATAACCATTTCACATATCAGAGGGATAGTTATAAGAACAGGAAAGTAAAAAAATAATTAAGAGCACAGTGTGAGGCAGGTAATAATGCAGGTCTCCAATGTCTAGGTTGAAATATCAGGGCTTCCTTGCAGTGTAGAATAGAATGTGGCCTACACCTATGGCTGTAGATACTAATACTGCTGATTACCAACTCTTAAACCTAGCCAATGTTTGAACTGTCTATAAACACTTCTGAAACTCAACATATCCAATTATTTCATGCTATGCATATTTTCAATCTGGCTTTGTAAAACTCAACTCTTAATCGCCTTTGCTTTTAGTTTTTCATTTCTCTTTGCTTACTGAATCTTCATTTACCTAGCCTATCACATGCTATCTAGCTCTTCTAACAAACATTATCACATCTATCCATTAATTCTAACACTTAAATATTTATAGATTATCTATTCCTGTTTACTGTAGTAAGTCAGATTCTCATTGTATACAATATACAACAGAGTCTCAATCTGTCTCTTATTTCTTCATCTCTAGTACACTAACTTCCACTGCCTTTGAAACACTGGTCTATATATGCAGCAAGGCTGCAGTAGTGTGGACCTCAATCAACGAACACTCAGGACACAGAGCAGGAGGACTGCAAGTTACAGGGCAGCCTGCCTGCAGAACACAGGGCCAAAGACAAAAGAGAAAGGATCCTTGCTGTAAATGCTAGGTGAATACATGGTCTCCTGCTAAGTAAACCTTATCACAATCAATTGATAGCACATCCTAGGAAGCTAGATTATACACTTCCATGGTTTTTTGAAACAGGCTATCAGGATATAGCTCACACTGCCCTCAAACTCTTTATCCTCCTGTCTTGAATTTCCAATGTTGGGATTATAGGCAGTCTTTACCATGTCCAGTTTTCTATGTGTTTCCATAAATACACTTATTCAATTTTCAGCAAAAAAAAAAAAAATCCTAAATACAACATTGGTCAAAGTCTTTGAAATGCTCAAGTTGCTAAGTCTTATCTCTGAGCCTTGAGGAGGGCAGTTTCTCCTGGTTAGAATTCTTCCAGTCCCATTCTATTCTGTCCACTCTTTCCTTCTGCCATACCTTCTCATACACCCATTTTCTTTGATAGACAGTCACATGAAATTCATCATTTCAATAGTTATGCCATATATTTTATGTTTTCTCATATTTTTCACCTTTATTAAAAAGGGAGCTTTTCAAAGCAGACTTGAACTTGGCTTGGTCCAACATAAACCTGTTGTAGACATAGCAAAGCTGGAAGGGTTGAGCCACCTAAGTCTCAGAAAAAAAGACTTTGAACTTGTAGACTGCTAAGACTGACAAAGAATATGGGGATGTTTGGAGTTGGATTAAAGACATTTTGCATTATGATACATCCATGAGCATATGGGGAGTCTGAAAACCTATGAGAATCATCCCACAGGTTCACATATTTGAACACTTGGTGCCTGATTCATGGTACTGTTTAGGGGAAGCTTATAGAACTTTCAGGAGGTGAAGCCTTGCTAGAGAAAGTTCATCACTGGAGAAAGACTTTGAGAGCATGAGGTGGCCCACTTACAGGTTGCTCTTGTAGATATGATCTCAGATTTTTGTCCCCCCCATGCCTCACGATCATGATGGAATCTTAGTCCTCTGGAACTATAAACCAAAATAAACACTACAAATTGTTTGGGGACATTGTATTTCATCACAGGAACAGAAAAGTTAACACATTATTAACAATGACTAAAATGAACTTATAGTAACAAGTCTTTTGATGAATGAATAAAAGAAATCAGGAATGGCAAGTTGTTGTCTACAAGTAACATACATGGGCCTATAAAAGTTAACAATGAACAAGGTCTCTTGTAGGCTATCACACTTTGAAAAGGAAAAATATGTAACTGTTAGCATTTAAAAGATTCTGTATCACTAGAAAGTCCATCATGGATCTTAGAGCCACTTCCCTTCATTTACCCATTTTTTCATATTACCACAAATGCTTCATAGTCAGCAATACTAATGCCTATCAAAGCACTCCCCCTCAAGACTACACTGTATTTACTTACTACCCCGCAGGTTTTAATCTTACAACATATACTCACTTCTTGTCTGAAAAAAGACTTTTTTTCAGGAGTACACCTGCTATACTAAACACTCAAATTTTGTTGGTTTTATGTTTACAAATGGCCTGAGTATGCAGTCTTGGCCCTAAGCATGGCTCAAACTCCAAGTGCTGGGATTACTAGCAAACACCACAATTCCTGACATTCAAGCAGTTGGTAGATAGAGTACACTACAAACTTGCTTTTAACCCATTCACACTCCTCAGGCCATATATCCTGTTTATAATGTTTCCATATTTTTGCCAGTAATAATTCACTACTCTCTCTCTCTCTCTCTCTCTATATATATATATATATATATATATATGTCATCTTTGATTGCCAGTAAGGTTGGTTACTCATCCACAGATTCCCTTCTAAACACATCAGACACTACATTAGATAGCACTGCACTGACCAAGATAAGCATTACCTCTAAACTACTGTGAACGTCAACCACCAAAAAACAAAAACAAAACAGATAAACTCTATTGTATAGTCAAAGTGCACGCGCGCGCACGCACACACACACACACTCATATTTTATACACATAGGTCCCAGGCATTTGTTATTTCGTTCAAGTCTAACAGCTTCTAAAGGTATGTTGAAAAGCAACCCTGATCTACTATGTTTTAACTCACTGTTTGACAGGCGAAGACTGGCGCTTTGAGGAGTCTGAGACTGGCAGCTTTACTCAGAAGCTTCCTCTTGAATCTGCACCCTCACTCTCTACATGACCATAAACTGCAGCTAAAGAAGTCCCCACCCAAGAACAGAGACAAACCAAGTCACCCATAACTGTAGTCTAAAAAATGTCAGTGCATGAATTTTGGCCATAAATGTTTTTAATTATCCACACATCCAAAAGTTAGCAATCTTTGCTCTCACCAAGAAACTGTTGCAATCACTAAGCTAAATAGCTTTACATACACTGCCTCATTTTATCACATCATGTAAAACAGTACTACTGTTGTTTCTATTTGCAAATGAAGAAAGATTCAGAAGTTACCTAGCCTGCTGATTAGAAATGCAGTAAATAAAAATCCCAGGGGCTGAACCCAAGTCAGTATGCTACATAATTTCAATTAAATAGCAGTCAGGACTGGGAAAACTGGTACTCACACACTTGTAATTCTGGCACTGTAAGGTCCCATGTTCAATAGCTAATGCTATTAAAAAAAAAAACAACAACATTTTCAGAGGGAAAAAAACCACCACATAATACATAAAGAAGTGAAGGGCTGGAAATGGAGCTCAGTAGTATGGTCCTGCTTCACCAACAGGGAGAAGGGGGAAGATTACTCTGGAAATGTTACTATCAACAGCAAATACAATCCTTTCCAGGTGTGTGTTTCTTACAGCATCAATAAAAGCAAAGGCAGCAAAAACAGCACCAGAATCCACATCACCCACTGCTGTGAAGAACCAATCACATCGGTAAAGAGGTCTGATCTCTGTCCTTGACATCTAGTAAATCATCTCCATGTCCCTGGGATTCCACACCAAATGGGCTTCAAGTAATCCATGTTTCTAAAGGATCTGAGGACTTTGTGACACCAGGAGGTACTACAAGATGAAGAGGACAGCCAGAGAGAGACTCTCAGTCCCAATCTTTTTCAGAGTCTAATCTCTGTTTACCTTCCTTGTTCTGAAAGAAAGAAAGAAAGAAAGAAAGAAAGAAAGAAAGAAAGAAAGAAAGGAAGGAAGGAAGAAAGAAAGAAAGAAAGAAAGAAAGAAAGAAGTGCCAGGAAGTTGGCTGGTGGTGGCATATGCCTATAATCCCAGCAATCGGGAGGCAGAGTCAGGACGATCTCTGAGTTCGAGACCAGCCTGGTCTACAAGAGCAAGTTCCAGGACAGCCTCCAAAGCCACAGAGAAACCCTGTCTCGAAAAACCAGGGGGGGGGGGGGGAGGAAGAAAAAGTGCCAGGACAGCAAGTAAATCTCAGGAGCTACCTGGAAAAGGAAAATAAAAAAAGCCATGCCATTTAAACTGAGCGAGTCACATGGTAGATAAGCAACCACAGAACAGGGTAGCAACCTTTGGAAGAGTTAGTGCCAACATGCTAGGGAAAAGCATGCTTAAAACATACATAAAGAGGATAAGGAAAAGTTATGGTTTTCTGAATAATTCAGAAAGGGAGCAGGCAGAGTTCTGAAGCTGTTGGGCCACAGCTCTGTAAGCAACAGCTTGATTTTAATTTGCATCCTTTGCTACAGTAAAAATTGTAATTACGTACAGTGTCCTCATAGTTTGTAAGCTGAGGACATATCTGTTGATCTAAAGTGAGGATGCATGAATCAGCCTGCTTTTGCTTTCAGTTAGTCTCCAAAGAAAGGCAGAGTCTACAGCGCCTTTCCC